CAGTGCCCTCCTAAACAGGTCTCTCTTGAAAATAAGTTCTGCTATCGGAAAAGGAATAACATATAGAAAAAAAGACGAAAAAAAAAAAAAAAAAAAAAAAAAAAAAAAATGGTAATGCTAATGTGTTGCGCAACATCAAAGTCAACATTGTCCATCTGTTGGATGTCGAGCAGCTGATTAACTTTTTTAGTTACCCCGATTCAAGATGACTACCGCAACTAATCAACCGTAGCATTTACAAAAACGATTATAACTCAATGAATTTTAAAGATATTGAGCTAAAATTTGGCGTGGTAGTAGCTGACAGTCATTTCCGACACGTACTCCAAGCTTTACGGATCATGTAAGATCATATGAGATACCACACTATTGCATGAGACTGCACGTTATTTTCAAGGGTTTACCAAAACACCTACAACTCTATCCCATTCCGCATCATAGGATGAACTTGGGACTCAAACTGTAGCATGAAAGCCTGCAGGTGATATTAGCAGCACCTTCAATTATGAAAGTTTTCACGTAATCAAAATGACTGCAACTCCACATCTGCTGCTGAATAGGGCACAACTTGTCAAGTCTGCAACTTTAGGTTGTTTTATTGCTCCTGGAAATCCATAGCAACATTCATGCAGAAGTGAAGCAGCAGAGCATAAACCAGAGTCCAAGAACAAGAAACGCAATCGCCTAAACTCACCTGACAGATCTGCTGAGCAAGCATGAAACACCGCGGCACACTGAGCTTATTTTTAGGAAGATACTCTCGCAGGCTCCCCAGGGGCAGGTACTCCATTATCAGCTGGACCTCTTGTCTTCCTGTCGGGGCAAAACCCAGCAGCGTTTTATCTTTCTACTTTATTATTTTCAAAACGATGAGCTGCTGTCTAAACTGGTGCTCAGCAAGCCGAGTGTTGAAAGCCCCAAATACTGACAATAAAAACAGTTGTGCACTTGGAATAGATTTCCAATATGAATAAAAATTTTTTAAAAAAAAACAGAAGGGAGTAAAATCAATTACTTGAAAGTAAAGCAAGTAAGACTTGACATGAGTTTGAAGAAGCAGCTCTAAAGCAGACAGGAGATTTCTAAGAACTCACCTGGCTCAGTGCAACAGCCTTTGTATTTGACTATGTTGCAGTGGTAGAGGGATTTCAGGATTTCAATCTCCTTCATCCAGCCCTCGGGTGCGTTACCGTTCTCTTGCTTCAAGGCTTTCACTGCCACAAGTTCCCCGGTCCCATCGTTGCAGGGGTCATACATGTACAGTGTCACTTTCCCAAAGTGTCCCTGCAAATGGAGAAATTAGTCAGATTACTCTTTTAACGCACAAGTATGTGCCCTGCTTCAACTCACCTCGCCTAAATCCCTAATTTTTTTCAGGTAGCGCTTCTGGAACATGCTGGGGTCTGGTGGTGGGAAGATGGCAGGAGGAAGTACAGGATCTGCGTGTATATTTAAAAAAAAAAAAAAAAAGAGTTGGTCAAATAGCTACAAGCAAAAAATAAACAAGCAGAAGGCAAGTAATTAATGACTGACTTCTCTTTATGATTTCTATGAGCTCTCGGAGGACGGTGCGGAACGAAGGCCGTGCATCCGGCTCGTACGTCAAACACCAGCTGATGAACTCGGACAGCTCCTGAGAGGACGGTTCAGCAAGTCGACCCTTCTGCTGATAAAATCGCTCTTTCTGTAGAGGTGAGCGCAGTTATGGTCTTAGAGAAGTGTGTGGGCATGCACAGTTTTTGCCTGTTGGAAGAAAAGTCCGCCCTTCAGCTGCAGCCTGGACTTACCTCAGACAACGTGCTGCTACTCATGGGAAGAAGGCCGTTGTTGCAGATTTCCAGCAGCGTGACACCAAAGCTCCACTGGTCAGCAGCACAGCCGATAGGAGCGTTGCTGTCAACACACTCGGGGGCGATCCACGGGATCCGATCCAAACGTTCTGCGGCGTGGCACAACATTTATGACAACGGCTCTGAATTTTCTAAATAAAGCCCTTTGAAGAACAGCTCCTCATTTCATGGAAATTAAAATAAATTACTGTCCAACACTTGAGGAAATAAATTGACCATCAAAACTAATCGTTTGGACTTGTGTGTTTTTTTTAAACACTAAACTTTATAATGTGGAGTCAAACTACAAGACGACAGGAAACGGGTGACAGGAAGTGGTGTAGTAAAACCTTCCTGTTTCCTAAATCTGCCTGACGCAGAAAAGCACAAAGTACAGATCAGCTACAGCTGATTAAGAAATGCGGAAGAATAAAACTTGATTCACTGCAAGTTGTGTGCGCTTACCTTCTCTTGAGAGGACGTTTAGAGCGATTCCTGGATCACTCAGCTTGATAAAAGGTGAAGTGCCAGGTTCTAGGCCCCGCCTCGCCACCAGAATGTTCTTAGCACAGACGTTTCCATGAACCAAGTGTTTCGTCTCCTAGAATAAGAAAAGTACACGATGACTCAAAAGAGATTTTTATTTATTCTGTGAATGTTTATGAAGCATTCACACTATTGTGATCCGTACGTTTTTCGGTGCTTATTTCTGCTGATTTCAGCTTATTATGCTCCTTTCAGCTTATTTCTAAAAGCTTCAGCTTTTTCTAGTGTTTTATGCTCATTTAAACTTTTTCAGCTAATTCCACATTTGTTGCACTCATTTCAACTGTTTTCAGCTTAATTCAGCAAAAATGTGCTCTCTCCACTTCCTGCTTGTAATTTCAGCTTCTTTCTGATTTTTTTAGCTGCTTTTCAGCTGGTTTTTTTTCTAATTTCTGCCTTTTTCAGATAATTTCCACTTCTAATTGGACAAAATGTATTTTTCCTGCTTTCTTCTGCTAATTTAAGCTTATTTTTTATTACATTTTCAGTTAGTTTTTTTAAGCATTTTTAGCTAATTTCAACTGTTTTCAGATAAATTCAAGTTTTTTGTGCTAATTTCTGATACTTTCAGTCTAATTAACTTCTTTCTGCTAATTTCAGCTTGATATTCTCGTTTCAGCTTATTTCTGTTAATTTAATCTTTTTCTGCTATTTCAGCTACTTTTTAGCTGTTTGTGCTTAGTTCAACTTTTTCAGCTAATTCCACATCTTTTTAGCTCATTTCAGCTCCTTCCACTTCTTCTGTGCTAAATTTGGCTTTATCAACTAATTCCACATTTTTTAGCTCATTTCAGCTCCTTGGTAGTTTAAACTTTTCTGTATTTTCAGCTATTTTTGTGTGTGTGCTAATTTCAGGGTTGATTTTTTTAGCTAATCTAATTTTTGTGCTCATTTCTGCTTATGAAACTTAATTCAACAAACATGTTCTTTCTGCTTTTGCCTGCTAACTTAGGATTTTTCGTCTATGTCAGCTACATTTCAGAATGTTTTTAGATATTTTTCATCTATTTTCAGCAAGTTCTTCACCAACAAGCATTCACACTGCATTTTCGCAGGAAATGCAATTTCTCTAGTTTTATTTATATTTCTTTTTACACAAGCCCATCCCAGCCACAGCCTGTTTTGAGAAGGAATACAGACTTATGAGAACTGTGCAACTAAAGCTACACACAGAACGGTTTCTCCTTATTTCTTGTAAGCATCACAGAAGACACTTTACAGTCTCTTGCTAAATCATAATTAAAAATTCTGTAATCTTCAAGCTATATGAGTGGAGAACAGAAAAACCCAGGAGCTGGCATTTTTAATATGGTGTAATTATATTGGATGATTCCCTGCCTGAGTGCAGCAGCTCCAGTGTAAAATGTGGTGTTCAGTAAGAAAAGTGCCCTGTCTTGTTTTGTTGTTTAGACTCTTAATACCCACTGAACAGCAGCTCATTTGTGTAGGACTCTCTAGATAATAACCATAATGCATAAAATGCAAAAAGTGTTGAACTCACAAGATAAGTGAGGGCACTCGCAAGTTGTAAGGAAACAATCAGTTTCCACTCAGCGTTTATGGAGGCACTTTCTTTGTGAAGGAAAAGGTCTAAAGGCCCAAACTCCACATAATCTTCCACCATAATATCTGTGGAAACAGAAACAAGTCAGACTTAAAATAAAACCACAACAAACGTAAACAAATACCATTTGTTTTTTTTAAATAGAACCTACTGAGTGCAGTTTTGCATTAAGTCCATGGTTTACTCATAATTTATATGGAAGATATGACTAAAGACCCAAACTTCATGTAAAATGAGGAAGCAGCGAATGAGGAAGTCACTAAAAGAAGAATTGAATGCACGTAGCTGATTACTGCACTTACTTTCAGATCCTTTAACTGATACACCGTGTACAAACACCAGGTGACTGTGGGATAACTGGCTCATGAGACTTGCAGTTTCAAAAAATGCCTTAAATAGAGAAAAAAGTAGCAAATGCATAAATATAAATGGAATAACTTGCTGAATTGCAATTTAAGCAACAGCATCGTAGCTTACCAGAGCAATATCTTTATGGCTTTGGTCTAAAATCTTCAGAACCACATGGATGTCCTTACATCTGGAAAAGTTGTTGTTGGACTCAGTCACATCATCCTCTCCTCCCCACACACGCAAACGTCCTGAGTAGATGTTAGTTCTGGTTCCACGACCCAAATGCCCTTCCTGCACAGAAACACTAACTGGATTAATGATGGAACACAGCAGAGAGCATCAAACCTGGGTTCACTCAAAGGAGGCAGGTGAGTATAATCATCTCGTAGACGTGGGATAATTACAGGTTTCAGTATGTACGTTCAAAGTGTTAAAAAGTCACGTTGACAAAACTAAAATATTCCATTATAACATTCCTATGAACTATAGGTCTTTCATTAGGATACCAAAGACAAAACAGTTTCTTTTTATAGTGTGTATCCAGTTAGTAGGTAAAAAATACAAGCTACTACAGCGGGCTCACTATGGAGGCTAATAAACATCTAATTCATTACCAACATGCTCTTTCAAGATTCTCCACATTAATATGTAATAAAAGCACACTTAATAACAAAACAAAAAAATGGAATCATATATATAGAGCAGCTTTTTGACTCTAGTGTTTTAGCTGTCACATATGAATTAAGTTAAAATGTTTCATTTGTTCTAATACTTGAGATGAACTTAAAACTTCACCCATGATCTTATAGTACCGTAATTTCTGGATTATAAGCCGCTACTTTTTTCACACGCTTTGAACATCAAGGTATATACAGTGCTGCGGCTAATTTATGGATTTTTTTTTTTTTTTGGGGGGGGGGGAAGACAAGCTAACGAGCTTCATGCAGCCAAAACATTTATTCTCGTCACACCCAGGTGCTCACATAGCTGCCCAATACATGCGTCTCTTGGGGGGGGGGGTGTCCTCATGACTCAATGAGACTACCTGTATAAATAAAAATTTGACCAATGAAATTACCGAACAGGTCAAAGTTTGTTTCCCCCACTTCCCTAACCATTGTGCCCCCAGAACAAATTATTTGCAGCTACACAAAATAATAGGGGTGCACCGATTGCAGTTTTCTGGCCGATCACTGATCACCAATTTCTAAAAAGTCTGACCTGCCGATTCCGGCCGATTTGTTTTATAAGCGACACTGTCAGGTGTTAATAAGGTCACAATGCACCTTCAATTTTCCAATATTATTTTACTTAAAAACATGCCATTGAACAATATCATAGAAACAATACAAACTTGTTTTAACTGCCCATGAGGTAGTGCTCTGAAATATAAATGAAGTTCAGATAATTGTTGTTAAAAACTAAAAAAAAAATCTGTAAAATCGGTTTCTCATGTAAGTATCAGCCGATTTCCGATTTTCCAAAATTAAGGAAAATGGGGCTGGTGCACCCCTAGTGACTTCCTGGTAGGCTAGTGTATTTTTTTTTTAACCAGCCGTGTTGCAGGCAATGTTCAGAAAAAAAAATACTATGCGTATTTGTGTATGTTACTGCTGCATTTAATTGAACCTTTAAAAAAATATTTCTGTGTAAATATCTCGTTACAACGTGGACACTTGCGGCTTATCTACAAGCATGGCCTATATATGTACAAATGTATTTATTTTATTTAGTGGGCACGGCTTATATTTGGGTGTGCTCAATAGTCCGGAAATTATGGTAAATAAGGCAGTTATAAATAAAAAAGCTGAACACAAACTGGTTTGAAAATCTCTCCTGAGAAATAGTGACTATGAGCATGTTCCCTTGTGTTCTCCTCGTCTCCTTGTTGGTACCGGTATGTGCACATTAAAATTAAAATACCTCAGAATAGTTCATTTGTTTAATATGATACTATTGTACCTAAAAAACAATTATTAGGTAATGTGTATATAATGTAAGCAGCAAAAGTAAAAACACCTGTTTTAAAGGTTACATAAAAACAAATTCATGATGATGCTTTTACACATTCTGTTGTAAAACTGTAACAACAGGAGACCTTTTTTTTGTGTGTCAGAAACTAATTGTTTAACCACCTGTATGATATCTTTGTCCTTAATCTGGTGGAAGCGGAGCTGCGTCAGGTTTAGAGGCAAGGAGTCCGAGTGAGTGCCGCAGTCAACACCCCGCCTTTTCACGAGCAGGTTGGATATTTCTGCAAATGGAAAGAACACAAAACTGAGTTAGTTAAAAGACAACACAGGGTGCAGATGAACTAACGCTGCACAATATTTGAGACGTCCGATAACACAAACCTCCTTGTTTCGGCAAACAGCATTTTCTGACTGTAAAACTGTCCGAACCAGACTTGAGCACAAAAGTTTTGAGGCTATCAGTGAGCTCCTTCACGCTGGAGAATTCTCGGTCCCAGCCCTCCATGCAGAAAGAAGAACCCTTCTTCTGGATACGAAACTGCTTGTGGCTCGGCGCCGACCCATTCTGTGCATAAACACAAGCCTAAATAAAGCGTCTGAAATTGTCTAAGCTCTGCAATAATTCCCAGAGTGGTGTGGGTGTCGACTTACCTCATTTTTGTTTAGCACAGCAAGGATGATGCGGTGATAGTCGAGGGCACTCCATCGAACGAGGAACGTTCCCTCCTCTGCCGCCTCTTTTTTCAGCTTTTGCAGCACGAAGTCATCACTGCAAGCACACCGGAGCGGTGATATAACCGTGTCTTTGTGGCCTGTTTGTGTCTGCAAGTGCTTTCAAAAGAACAGAAAACTCACTGCATCGGTCCGTGCAGCAGATTCGCTTCGCTCAACACTACCCTGGCGGGAGCTACTTCACGGCAAAGATAGTGGTGGGCGTCTGCAGTCAGTCTGTAGTATCCATCGAGAAGGGAGATGAAGGAGCAGGCCTCCTGGCTGGAGTTCATCTCTACCTCCTACATACAAACACAGAAGCACCGCTGGCTTACAATCTGAGCTCCCACCTGGACACGTAGTCATTGCAACAAGACAAAATGCCAAAAGCAAAACAACAAAAAAAAAAAAAAAAAAAAAAAAAAAACAGGAGGCTAACATGAAACCTACAGCATGAACTCAAACATTAAAAAGTCTGACTTATCTAGTCAACGGAGTGGTAATAGATGTGACTGATGCATCTCAAGTCCATTTACTAATTAAATGAATGTATTTCATCTCATACATCGACAGATAAACAAGTGCACTCACCATGCAGTGATTGTTCTGAGTGCTAATGCGCACATTAGATTCAGTAATGTCTATGAGAGTTATTTCAGGGAAATCACAGAAGGAGGTCCAACTATCAGCAGCATTCCCATTTGCTTCGCTGGAGTGTTGCTTGGATTTCATCGTGTAGTTCAAATAATTGCTCCTGAGATAAGGATTCGGCTGTGCCTAGATAAATAAAGAGAGCAGCTGAGAAGTCAGCACAAAGGAATACAAACCAGAAGCAGGTGGTTAAAAGTGGCTTTTGACAAACCTGCTTGTGCACCTTCCTCCACTGAATCCCCTTAGTGCCGGACACCATTATTTCATGCGTGGCCGACGCGCCGGGGTTATTTTTCGAGATACCACCACTGTGGTTTGTGTAAGAGCTGCTCCCGTCGCTGTGTTCCCGCAGTTCCAGGTGGGTTACCAGGAAAGTCTCTGTGCCAAAGCATGGAGCCAAGTGTTCCAGGGTAGAGATGTACTTATACATGATCTCCTGCTCACCCAGTTGTCCTTTATCCACAGTGTGCTGCTGGAAGGTCCGTACAAATTCGGAAAACACCCGCCGGATCCTGATTTTAGTCAGAAAGTTATCCTTGGATATGTGTTTGGCAAAAGATTTTGGAATGCAGCGTAGGAAGCTGAAAGTGGAGTAAAGCCACATGTGACATCAGCAAAAAACAAAGAATTGATTGAAAACTAAGCAGAAAACAAAAAAGAATTTTTAATCCAATCAATAAACAGATAATTAAACAATAGAAGCCTTAACAATATCACATTACCTATTTTTTCTTGCCACTTCCTGTAAGGTCGAGTTTTCCTGTATCGCAAGGTGCGAGAGGTGAAGCACAGCCATTCCCAGACTCTCGTTTTTGAAGCGACTTAGTTCCTCCTCTGACTCTATGTCCTCCATTTCCACAACTTCATTCACAAATTCATATTTGGCCTGGAGTTTGAGACACAGGATGCAAAGAGTTGCATGACTCCACCGTTGTTGGCACATTATACAACTGCGCAGTCAAAAAAAGAACACATTGCAGTCTGTCAAACGCAAACCTGAGCAAATAAATACTCCAAGGATGTGATATCAAGCAGAGGGGAACCAGTTTGGTCCGTCGCAGATTTGAGAGCATATCGAAATACAGTTGGCTCCTTCTCATTAAGTCCGTGCCAATTCCGAAAGTAGAACCTGGACAGAAGGAATCAAGACATAAATACACTCGCTGTGTTTCAACCATCAACCATGCGAGGTTGTAGTCCTGGACTAACCTCATACAATAGTGAAGCACTACATTGGAGTCCTGTTCTGAGCTGAAAACGTGATTTGGACTGTACCAGCATCGTGCTTGTGGGTCATACAACGCAAACAGCACGTGGCACAGGGGAGTTATCCCTGCAGGAGGAAAAACTGTTGTTACACACCACACACACAAACTTTTATCTTATGGATGTCAGCGGTCTCCCTCACCTACGGTTTCTGCAGCCAAGACGCACAGCTCCTCCGCCGTGACGTCTCCGCTTGTGTGAGACAAATATTTCTCCCCATCTTTAGTCCAGAACAGGCAAACATGGATGCCCTGAGACTGGGGGGGACCACTGAAGCCTGGGAGGGTTCCTCCTGACGTGAAAAATCTGGACCATCCTCTTACGGACATGTTGCACAAGATCACTGAGAAGCAAAAAGAAGACACAAGTCAAGTGTTCGGTTAATCAGCTGTTTTTTTTCAAGTAGGCATCAGGACTCAGGAAGAGTTCACGTACACAGGAAATGTTAACAGTTCTGATTCTGCAGGCTTTACAGAACTGCATATGATGACTTTTTAAACTGACAATTAATAAAAGGAGCACCGAAATCAAATACATTGATTAAAATGACGTCAGTCAACCTGATCATGTCTAAAGAGGCCTTCCGGGGTATAACTCAGCAAACTTGTTTACCTTTTAGGCTTTAGATTAAAACACCCACAGCAACAAACGTTTTGTTGTCGATATGTCTATGTATTTAAATCACATAGATAGACTGTGTCCCCGAGGGGCCAAAATGCGACCCATCGCTTCTTACGACGTCATAACAAGGAAATAAGCGTCCGTGCATAAAAACATCATGGCAGAAGTATAATTAAACACAAGTGATGCATAAAACTTACCGTCAACGTTGAGCTTTCTTAAAGGCGTTACTTTAAAAAAGACAGCGCGACAAGTTGACGGTCGAGCTTCATTATTCGCGGAGCGTATTTCCCCTTTTCTCCTACTCTCTCGGTTTCTTGCGAACTAGTGTGTTGAGCTTCGACTAAACGCTGCTTCCCGAAACCAAGATGGCCACTCCCTCCTGCTGCCTCCCTCCCTCCCTCCCTTCACCGGAAAGGCACGAACACGACGCGCGAGACGCAAAAATATAAACATCGACTTAAGAGCTAAAAGTACGGACATTTACAAAAGTCTGCTTCACCCTGAAGTGGATCGCAGACCGCAGTAAATGGATCCACATTCGAAGAGAAATTGAATTTGTGTGTTGAGTGATCTTCTCTCTGCGAATGCCAAACGGCTCATTCTGCTTGACGATGGGCAGGGGCGATTCTAGACTCTAACCTTTAGGGGGTGCTGCTCAGCCCCCAGTCCTGACAACGGCTCGTTGCTTGATTCTGGCATATTTTAACAAGTTGTTAAACATCTACCTACATACTGTATGTAAGCACTTGCTTCAATAACTATTTTAGAAAACAAGAAATAGCCTGACCAACAGCTCTCCTTGTGTGAATAGTAGGGGTGGCCAGATCGATCCAAATATAGATTAATATCGATATCAACGTGGGTATTGATTTTGATCAATACCAGTGTAATGAGATTGACTTTAGGTTCAGTTTCTCTCCTGTATGTACTGCTGCGCTTTCAGCAAAGACGTGAGCCGACTGTCTGTGTAAGTGTCGCTCCTGTCACAGCACAGAGCAACTTTGCAAAGGCAGACAGGGCCCACAGAGAGGCTTCTGGGAATATTTCTATGAACTCAAGGCTTTGGAGGTTGTTTTGTTATTTACACTTTATTTATTGTATTTCCACTAATTATTTTTGATGTGTAATTATTTTTTTCAAACCCAGAAAAGAAATTCACTTAAGAGGAGAAATTTAGTTTTATTCCTTTATATCCTAAATATATTTTACTGTTTTATAACATTTGTTGCAGTGTAATAACTTTATAGAGTTTAAGAAAAAAAAAAAAATCCAGAAAATGAGTGCAATAATGGACAATTTTTATTTCATTATCATTGTTTTTGAACACGTTTTAATTTATTCTTGAGTGATCATTTTGTGCACTTTGTTTAAGGAAAAAATCCAGACATCACAAGGTCTGGGGAAAATTGTTTTGTTACGGTTCTATTTTTTCAGGAAAAAAAACTTCTATTATAATAAAGTTTTTTTTTTTATTATAAACTTTGCCTAATTCTATTATGGGTTTTAACAAATAAATGATCCAAAGGAAAAATCACAAAACATTTAAACGTCATCAAAATACACTGTAATTATTAAAAGTATTGTATCAATATCGGCGACATTGGACCTGTATTTATTTGGTATCGATCGATACCAAATTTTGCAGTATCGCGAGCCCCCTCAGCCCCCCCAGCCCCCCCAGCTCCTGCAGTTAAAGGGTGTTTCAATTCGGCACAAACTGAGGTGACAACTGACAGGTGGTGTTGAGGATCCGACTTGTGTCGGATCAATCATAGATTGATGAAATCATAATTTTACTGGTTCGCTTAAGAGTATCATTTATTCTAAATTTCTTCAATATTTTGGTGAATTTAAGGTTCGAGAACTGAATTTTCTTACAAAATCCTTATGATGGTTTCTTAATTTTTCAGGGGTGCTGAGCTAAAATTTAGGGGTGCTACCAAAACGAGGCTAAAATCGCCAGATGAGACTTCTCCTCTTCTAACATTTTTGTGCTGTTTATAGAATAGGATAATTGAAGTCTGAAGAAGCTAGACAATATTGGCGATTAAAGATTTTTCTTAAATAAGGGCATCAGTAGCATGTGGAAGAGTCATACACAGCCACTACGACCCAGTGCCTCCTCCTAGAAATGTGACGTTCGTGAACGATCAAAATAATTTGAACGACTCTTTATGACAAACAATAGGAACCAAGTCAGACAACTGAGAGACGCTCCTTTATTCCTTTTCTTGTGATTCCTTCATATTTTCTTTACTTGTCTACTGAGACAAAGTGTGGGACGACATCAGAGTTGCCAGACAGAAAATTACAAAATACCGTCCCGTTGCTTTAAAATTATATTTTAGCCATAAATATGTGCTGAGGGAGCACTTTTTTGCACAAAGGGAGTGGGTTAATATGAGGTGTGTGCTGTGATTTACCAACATGCACACAGGGGAGGAGTTGCGCACCCTGACTTTCTGACACGTGGGTGTTCACATTAATAAAATGAGTTTATTCATTTAATTATTTGGTGCACTGAAATGCCAAAATGATCATATACATGAGCTTTGTACAATCTTGTGCATATTATAAAAAGCCTCACTCTACAAATTGCACGGCCAAGCCAAATGACGGACAATGATTGTTTTATCCGACTTTAGAAGCAGAAAATCAAAAGCCAAGTATTTGGATAGAAGCACTTTATAGAATAGGTGGTCCCATTATAAAACTTGTGACGCCACCTCAAGAAATTAAAATGCCAATTTAAAAATGTCAACAAAACAAAAATATGTGTATAAATGGTGTATTTTATTCTTGCATGTCCTTGTGTAAAATAAATGCAGTGCCTCAGCATCTTGTTTTGCAACAAAATGTCTGTATTTTCTGTATGATTTTTTTTTTTACTTTGTATATTTTTTAGAAGTGTTTTTGCTTTGCCTTTGTTTTCACAACCAAACTAGGCTCACATTTCAGAGAGGCTGCATTTTTGCCACAACGGGTTTTTATTTAATCCAGTACAATGAAGCTAAAAATGCTTTTTGGTGACCGTTTAACACTAAGTTTATTTTGAAATGTCATAAGCCAATGTCCAAGTACTCTGGCCTTCAAAACAAAAGCACAGCGCTAGGGTGGAAACTTGAATCAGGAAACTTTACCTAATAAAAGACGACTTTTAGCCTTTAGATGAAATACACTCCTTTTTGAACACCTTGATGAAGGCTGGACCTTCAGAAATTATTCTTAGTTTGGCCACATTAAGATCGTGTAACCAAGATCAGCAACTACAGCCACGCCACAGACGATATCTGAAGAATACTTTTATCTCGAAACAAAACGGATGCGATTCTTACGCATATCATCTTTCAACATGTCACCCATGCAGATAAACACACAATAACTTGTTCTTGAAAAGGTTGAGAGTTCAGACAGAAGTTTATAGAAACAGACACATACGAGCAACTGAATACGATTCTTTGGATAAGAGCTAAATGTCAACAAAACCTAATTAGAAAAAAAGAAGCCCAATCTGAAAGGAATACACTAATCCAAATGTTGCAGCCAGGCAGGCGTCAGTTCAAACACCTACACAAACTGAAACGCACACAAATAAAACATCAGTGATGCCCAAACAGAACAGCAGCAGTTCCTTGTCCAAGCTGGGATCACTCATCCAACTAAGTTCAGTTGTAAAACGAACAGGACTCCGTTTATTCTTACTGAACGTTAGAGCGTTACTCCATTGATCAGCCAACTAATCATACGCATAATGAAGTTACACAACAGTGGGCGAGTACATTTGCAAATAACGATAACGGCTTTTCTCTCGTCACTCTGTCTTTGGTTCCTCTGGTTCCTGCTTCACCTCTTCGTAGGTGGCTTCTTCTTCTTCTTCTTTTTCATCCCCATCAGTCTTGGCGTTGGGAACCCAGAGTCCTGAGTCAATGCACCTCTTCATATGAAGCTTTGCCTCCTAAAATGTGCGAGGGATATTTTTATCATCAACTATGTAAAATACTTTAAATCTGTAACCAAAACAACTTACCGTTGGATCCATTTTGCTAATGACTTCTTGTAACATCTGGATGTCTTTCTCGTCAAAACATTTCTGCATCTCCTGCAGTTAACGACACGTTCTGTGTTATCAGTGTACACGAGGCATTTTAAAAACTCGAAACACGGTGACCTAAATGTTGAGACATCTACGTTAACTTACGGCTGGCAGGGACTCGTACACTTCAACGGGATCTAACCCCCCAGGACCTATGCGCTTTTGTCGCTCCTCTTCCTCGTATTCCTTCATAGCTTTTTCTATGCGGATCTTCGCCCTTCCCCGAACTCGCACCTTGAATGATTCCAGCTCGTCGTTGAAGGCGTCCTGGTACTGCTGGTCTGCTGTCTGGGTGAATACACGCACAAGTTTAAGGCCTTGAATAAATGCATATCACCTGCCGCCATTCTTGCCAGATTTTAGACTAAGATCATCTTTTGTTGTAGCTTTTTTTTTTTTTAGTCCAACCGAGTGTTGTGCTTAATCCAATGCAGTATCACAAGAGGTCACACTCACAGTATGACTCTCAGCTACTACCACATCAAATTTAAGCTCAATTTATGTAAAGCCGACTGAGTTTGTGCTGGTTAATATTCCTTAATTGTGGCAGCCAGCTTCAGTTGGATTACCTCCAAAAGTTAAGCAGTTGTAGATGTACACCAGCGATTTCTTTCAGAAAAATTCATTCAAATCCATCTTGTGATATATGACACCCTGGTATTTTGGACAGACTAAAACATCGTCATCCATATTCGTATTTCGGTGCCGTGCAATAACAATTAAGAGAAACGGCACTCCGACACAGAATTTTCAGGAAGCGTGAGAACGTTTACAGGGAGTCGAGTTGACAACTAATAAGCATCTGGGGAGTTGGTGTGTTGCATTCAAGTAAACAAGGTCTAGGTGTAACTTTGTGCATTACTATATACAAGTGTTCATCACGGAACTGTAATTTAACTGTCTGGCTGAAATCGATGAAAGCAATTGTATTACTGGTAAATTAAATTCAAAATTGAAATATCTTGGGTTACCTTGATCTTGGTAAAAAACTGACGGAAGCAACCACGGGGGTCCACTTTGAGGCTTTTTGACAACTCAAGGATAAACTGCATGACGATAGTCTGATGAGCCACTTGCTCCATCAGTGCATGTTTCTGGAAGAACGAAGAAGCACTTCGAATAAAACAGTTGGCGGCAAAATCAAAGAGTCACGTTCGATTAAACTAAGGTCTTCTTGTTTGTAACTTAAATTAGAGTCGATCATTAGAACAAGGACAGAATCAAAAAAGCAGACTTTTTTTTTAAAACCCATTTACCTCCTCAACTTCAAGATCAATGCACATGATGACAAGATAGTTGGCGGTTTCTTCACAAACAAGATGAGGATTGTCAGAGAGGTATTTCTGGCTGTCGTCCCAACGTCGCAACATGCCTGAGGTCAAACGAGAATACATTCAAATCTCGACTGTCTCATTATAATAAGGACTCGTTTTTTTTATCACGGCTGTCGGTGGGGCTTACCAAAATGTTTGATCTCCTTTTCGTACTTCTCCACAAAGGTTTTGTGTTTTTTCTCCTTCTCCTCTTCAGTCTCTTCAGAAGGATCAGGTTTGACATTAACGATACTCTGTTGAAAACAAGCAATGCAAACATCTGTAATGTGAAACTACGTGTTTTGGATATGTTTTTTTTAGAATATATCGCCACATTTCTTTAATATGATCATCCAAGAAGCCAGTTGAGATGAAAAATAATAATAATAATAATAATAATAATAATAATAATCGGTAGACCAATTGACCACCAATTTTTTTCTTTTTTAACCAAAGCCCAAAATTTAGTTTTTTTTTCTTCTGAGAAAAATTGTAAGTGTATAAGTTATTCTATAGGTTGTTAAATATACATTTATTTAAGCTAAGCTATTATTGTTATATTTCATTAAATGAAAAACACATACTGGCCAAAAACATGCACACACACACACACACACACACACACACACAAATAAATAGTTGTACGTCGGTCACTGGCTGCACTGATTTAAAAAAATAAAAATCAAATCAAATAGAAAAAACTACATTGGTCATCCTCTAATCTAAAAAAAAAAAAAATCAGTACCTGATGTGACAACTTCCAAAACGGTATGAAATTAAGACGCAGAAAATCTGTTTTATGGTAGATTTATATGAATTTTGTTTGACTGTGACTTGAGATCAGAATCAAGGCAACCAAAAGAACACGTATATTAATATAGTCGTCATTTTTGAAGTTATCTTATTGACAATGTTTAATCTGCATGAAGGGGAGCATTAAAATAATTGATATTAAATATGAATAGGAACAGAATGTCATCAAAAAGCTGAGGCAACTTTTGAAACGCTGAACGGAGCGTTTGCAAAAATATAACACGACTAGTAATTTATATAAATTTTGTTTCACCAACATGTAGGATTCTAAAATGTAGATCTTCTGAATTGTCTGATTACTTAAGACTCATAAAAGTGCAGATGACAATAGTAAAGATTTTATGATCGATCTGAAGCAGAACATCGCTTCAGTCTGCTGATCACCTTGCTGAAACCATCCTTGCTGAGTGTGTCCACATTCCAAGGCATCTTCTTCTCCTCTCTGTTGAACTCGTCCATCTTCTTCTCCCATTCTCGCTCCTCCTTTCTTAACTTCTTCTCCTCGGTCTGGACTTTGCTCAGCTCTACTTTGGCATCATCAGATGTGGAAACCTTCATCTCTTGTAATTTTTTCTGCATCTCAGCAAGCTTGCGCCGACATTCAGTCAGACTCTTGTTGATGTCTTCGCCCTTCTTCTGAAATTCGTCCATTCGCTCCACACGGGCCTGAAATGCATGGAATCATCAGTCATTACAAGACCTTATCCGCTTATGTTCTTGTTTTCCCTCAGGGGCGACACCGGACGGGAAGTCAGCTAGCTAGCTTACAAAGTGCTAAAAACAACCATAAATTAAGCTTATTCACAAGTCAAAACTAACCTGGTGTCTCCATCTGAAAAGACTGGGTGTGTCGATGTTTGGGTGGGTATCATCTTCATCGTCCGAGACCTCAATGTGGTCCCACACGCTGTAATCTATCCTTGACATCCTGCAAGCCAAACCAAGCTAACAGCCTTAGCTTGTTTTGAAAGTCTAATAAGTTAAAAGAAGTTGACCACGACAAATTTAAGCACGTCAGAAAACACCCTGACGCTGTCAAACCTCTCAAAAATGCGTATTTATGAACTTCTTCCAGGATAAATATAGTAGAACCTACACAGCATTAGCTAGCTAAATGCTGCTACAAAATTCTAGAAAGAATCGCTGTTTCCGGTTTACGTCATTACGTCACGACGTACGGAAATACGCACTGCGCGACGACGTCGTCCGAAGAAGAAAGGAACAGTTTTATGTTAAAGCGTTTTCACAGATGAATTTAAGCTTTTCGCTAATATTAACGACACGATTATCTCTACAGTGAATTAAGAATAACATGAACTTAAAGTATAAACACAGTTGTTGTTTTTTTAATTTAAAAATAGCTACACCAAGCCTACCAAAAATACTGTGCGAGCCAATAAAAAAGATAAAGTTGAATTTTTAATACCCAAAATAATTGTATTGTTTGATGAAAAGGAATTTTATCAAAGTAAACGCTGCTCAGCTCATTATTTTTAGTGTTTTAGTAACAGCTGCAAGAAATGTACTCAGTTATTGATTTTTTTTTTCTACACAAAACAGGTTTAGATGTTGGTATTACATAGACATTTACTGTTGTTTTTCCATTTTTATATATATATTCTTATAGTTTAATCACATTTCTTTTGGCAATTTGAAGTTCAAATCAAATGGCTGAAAGCTGGCACAGTATCACACGTGTTTGTGGACAGACCAGCCAGCTATACCTGCAATAAATAAATAAAATTAACATTGTTGCTTAGCTGCAATATGAGAAAACTGCACATCAGTTTTATGTGTCATCTTGCAAATAAACACATGCATTTAGCTTTTGATACAAACAACCTATGAGATGCAAACTCTGAGCAGGTTCAAGATGTGAGGAGCAGTTTATGAGGCAACTTTTTTAGGTTTGTTTAATATCAAGAGAGGTTGTCTGGCCCTGACAGGTACCACCAGGAGGGTGTCACAATCAGGATGTCTGAATCTTGGTCGTTTTCCCCTGAGCGTGCTGAGCCTTTTGTAACAAGCTTGTCTCACATTCTGACATGCAGACTCATGCAGATCTAAAAATGAGAGGGTGTGGACAAAATGGCAGCAGTTCAAGATAATCTGATTGTTGTGACAGGAGTCTCATCACCTGAAGCTTGCAATGAGGAAAGGTGCACAGTCGAGAACACTTTAATCTACATTTAATAACAAATCAGTCTTCCTAAAAGTTATAATATAAATACTGTAGAATATATAGACCATCAGCATTGATGCAATGCTGATTTTTCCTCGATGCTTCCTTTAATTTAGATGTTCTGTCTTCTTGCTCTTGTTCTCCGCCAGCTTGGATTCTCGGAACCCGGAGCAGCAGACGGAGTTCCCGGCCTGAGCCTCACAGCACCGCCGCATCTCTCGGATCACATCCTCACACAAGCGCTCCACGTATTTGTTAGCTGCAGGACGGGGGGAAAGAGTAGCTTAAAATGTGACCGTAAAGCTTCACCTTTTAACAGCACACAAAAACCCCCTCGATGTACCTTGTAAGCATTTTTGAATGGAACATGCTTGTTTCTGACACGGGTCTTTCTGTGGCATGTCTGAAAGAAAAACGCAGCAATATTTTTAAGGAAATTGAAATAAACCACATAAGACAGGACCTAGAGGTGCTGTCTCTCACCTGTATTGCTAGATAATGTTAGCTGCTTATGCTACTTCCTGTTTGTAGTGTGTTGTTATCACGTGACGCCGACAATCATTTCCGGAAAAACAACACCACCATCTTGTGGCGGAAAGGAGCATAACAGGTGTTAAAGGTTGCATTGAACAACAGTAATACAGAAGTGTAAAATGTAATAATATAAGTTAATTTAGTTTTTATAGAATTATTGTTTGACTAAATCATGCAACCAATCAGCTTAAATATGTTTTAGAATTTCAAGAGCTAATTCTATTGCTTAAAAAAAAATCCATTCAAAATATGAGTTATAGCTTCAATTAATAAAAAACCCCACATTTTTTCTTTTTTTATTCGTAAAGAAAAGAAATGAACAGCTCATATGTACAGAAACTTCTCACACCTAATCATTGTAATATAAAACGTACAGGTAACTACATTTTTTTAATGTTACATGTTTTTACTTTGTTAGTGAAAATATAGATTTAGTAAAAATATAAATTAGAGAACGATCATCACATCGAAAGTGTAAAAAAGTAAATTATTGCCTAAACAAACTTTCACATATTAAATCACGGTTACCAACACAACATCTGCAGTTCATTTGTTCTCCCAACACTTGATAAGATCCATCAAAACATCCACTGAATATTGAATGTCTTTCCTTCTTTGAGGCAGCAACAGTAAAATCTGCACATTGAAGCTCTTCCTGCTGATTCTTCTCAAGTTAGCGGACCTCAAACTGCTAAATGAAAGCAAAGACAGATGCGCATTGGGACACGAGCGTGAATACAATGTTCAAACGTTGCAACTCAGACCTGTTTTTTTTTTTACCTTTGATCTTTGCTTTGACAATGAACTGTTTGCTCTTCTTTTCCAGCATGTTAGAGACAGTGCAGGTGTAAGTTCCTGGGAGCAATGAGGAGGAAATAATAACCGCTTCCTCCTTCATTTTCTCCTGTATAAGATGGGAGGATTGCCAGCTGTACACAGGTGCAGGATTTCCTGCAGCTGTGCAGTTTAAGGTGATTTCTTCACCGTGTGTTACTTCCAAAACCTCTGTTTCAGGATTAAAAAATGTTGGCGAACCTAAAGAAAGAAGCAATGACAGATATCACTCATTCATGCAGAACAACTTGTTTTCAAAGTGGAAATAGCTTCATAACTTACAGTACACGGATGCAGTGAGAGGCTCCGAGGCCACAGCAGGCGGTGGCTGTGGTCCCTCTGGTCCGAGCTCCAGCTCTGCTACACACTTATACTCTGCGTCATTCTCGGCTTTGGTTGGCGTGATGACAAGAGTGGAGGACACTTGGACAGGCGAGGAAGATGTGAGGTCAGAGAAGGAGTGTTTGTACACCTCGGTTTGCCCTCTGTACCACCTCAGGGTGAGAAACTGAACAGGAGCAATATTCTGAACCTCACAGAGCAGCTGGTATTCTTTCCCCTCCACCATGGGGCCAGTGTTGTTCACCGGCCTGATGGAAACGCTGTCCGGAGTTTCTGCATGAAGAGCACAAATCGTTCAGGTGAGTCAAACAGCTGAGCTTCTGTCAGGCTTTTAGAATAGCAAATCCAAATAGTTGGGAAGTTATGTAAAATGTAAATAAAAAAATGCAACTAAAAATTTGTCTAATTATTTGTGCAAAAAGGTCAACTAGAGTATGGTGGCAGGAACACGTCTTAAATAAGTTGGGACGGGGCAGAAGTTCACCATTATGAAAAATAAAAGTCTGAAAATAATGACAGCGTTAAATCATATTGTTTCTGAAAGGAAAATTGAGACGACGTTGAATGTCCCATCACCTACAGTTTATAATATGAAGTAATTTCAAGAAGAAAAATTCAAAAGTCAGTATTTGATGCTCGTGATCTTTAGGCCTCAGACAGCACTGCAGTTAAAATATATGTGAACACCAGAAACACCGTCTGATCTGGGCCAAACCCGTTTAAAATGGACTGTTCTGTGGTCAGACATCAAATTTTGACGTTTCCTTTCAAACAACACATCCTCTATCCTAGGGACCATTCAGCCTGTTATTAGCACTCAGTTCAAAAGCCTGCCTCCTTGATGGTATAGGGGTGCACTTGTGTCTTTTTAGCATGGGCAGCTTACACATCTGGAAATGCACTACGAATGCAGAAAAGCATATACAGGATTTAAAATGGCAAATGCTGCTATCCAGCAAAGAATATTCTTGAACAGTTAAATCTTGCATCAGACAAAAACGAGGCAACATTTCTCTCCAAAAACACAAAGGACTGGTCTCAGATGTTTGCACTTAAAAGAAACTGCGGCTGCTTCATGGTGGTAAACAAGGCCCTGTCCCAACGTTTTCGAGCTGTTTTACCTAATTTTATCAAAATAAAATAGTGTAGTTTTTTTTTTAAGTTTACACATTTAATGTCTAGTGTTCCATTGTAAATAAAATGTGGATTTAAAAGATATTTTTACTTTGCCGGAACTGGAGGTTTTTTTTGTTTTGTTTTTTTTTAAATAAAAGCACATTTCAGTGAAGAGCTGACTCACTGTAAAGGACAAGGTTGAGTTTTTCCTCACACTGTCTTGGAGCTGTGAAAAACACCCCGTAGCAGATGGGCTCCTCAATCCAGTCGATCAGGCTGTCCACTTTCCACTGGACGGAGCGGTCCTCATGGGTCTGTGGAGCACTGAGGGCCGACTCCCAGCCCAGAACACGAACCGGGCGCGTAGCTTCACAGACGACCGACACCGACTCCCCAAAGCCCACCACCACCCTGGAGGGCTTGAGGACCAGGGAGCAACCTTCACCCGACACTGAGGCACACAGCAGCAATCAGCACCGACTTTCACTTTTAGATTTACCACACACAAGTCAAAGTGACCGACGGAACCAATCACTATAAACATCAGGATACAGATGTGGATATTTAACAAGTCTTACAGGACAGATTTAATTGCACTCAAACATACATTCATATTATTTTTAATACACAAACTGCTTGAAGTTAGTTCCCTGATGCTACTTATTGATTCTTTAGTCTCCCAGCTAATCAGTTATCTTATATTTAATATTTATGGATCGTCCATCATCTACAAATCAAGTAAATGAGATAAAACTTGTTGCTTAGAATATCTTACCTGAACAAAACGTGCAAAACACCACAGTCCATGTCAGAAAGTTGTTTCCCATCGTATTTATTTATTTATTTTTTTTGCACCGAGTCGTCGAAAGGGAGAAAATTCCAACTTGAACAACCGTGGCAACTCTGCAGGGAACTATGTCGGAGCAAAACAGGGTTCCCTCCCAGCTGACTCCAGGGACGGGAGGAGGGCGCAGCGAGGGAAATTTAACAAAGCCCGTTACTTTGCACTGGATTTTTAACAGAACATCAAAAGGATTCAAACTCTACTGTAGGTTTTAAGTCAGAAACATTAATAATGAAATCTAAACAAACCTGTAGATTAAACCTCTTAACATCCGCACAATTTAAATCGTTCAACGGGGCAATGAAAGCATGAGTCTGAACCCCACATTAAAAATGTTTTGATTGTTGAGCAACTTTAAACTCCTCACATTTTCCCTGGTTGTGCACACAAGCGTGCTCTTAGCTCCTCCGGCCTCCGTGATTTGTTGAATCCCAGCAGGCCGGAGTGTTGGACACGTGCAGCTTGCGGGACTCACACTGTGACCAGAATGATACGCAGCATATCAGCTCGGACCACAACTGTCGCACAAGAGGGCAAGGAATCAGACGCTTCGGTGTATTTATGGGAGAGGACAGCTGGAAATCTCACTCACATTCTCTCTTCACTTACAGCTTTAAATGTGCCTCAAGTTCTCTGGACAAAAAAAAAAAACAGACCTATAGTAAAACCTTTATCTTTTACTAGACTAAACTGAGCAATTTGTCAGCTGCCAGGTTGTCATGGCAACACAAAGCATAAACAAACAGTTGGCCTACTTTTGGATGAAATCTTTGCTGGAAATCAAAAAGATGAGGCACTTTTAGGAGAAAATAAACACTTTATTTTGGCAACTTAAAGCAGGATAATGTATACGTTTCCTTACATCCTCTTTGTCGGGCTCTAATTAGTATGGATGACTCAGAACTGCAGAATGTAGGTCACAGTGAAAGAGGCGGCGGAAGAGGTCCAACAGATTAACAAAAGGTGGCACAGAAACACAGACACGGGTTTGACTTGGCCTCAATCAGTATTCTGCCAGAGAAGGTGGCCACACAAAATACATCCAGCTTTTGACGTTTTGAGTCCATTTATAAAGAACAAAAATGTGCCTTGTTCAAATAATTCAACTGTCACAGCAACAATTCATTTCCAAGTACCTTTTTTAAATTGATGCATCAGGAATTTGTGCTTTTAACGTTACAAGAGGCTCATAAATGTTTTTTTTTTTCCCCAAAACAACCTGCTTTGTCTACTTAGTGCATCAAAATTTTTAACATTAAAACAATGACATGGCTGCATAGAAACACACTATTTGACATCATAACATGATTTATAAAAACAAAAATGTAAACAAAACTAAAATATTGGCACTGCGTGCGGTAGTATTCTGAGTGATGTCAAGTAATTACTTTAGATGTACTGAAGTGGTTCATAACCAGAGTAGTAGAGAAAAACTGATGGATAAAAAGCAACTTAAATGCGTTTTTCTTTGAAGGAAAAAAAAAATAATCAAAGCCTTTAAAAAAAAGACCATCACTATAATCAGGAACGGTAAAAACCAGCTGCTAAAAATGCTACAAGAAACTAAAAGTTGACCTGAGGTTTTCAGAAACTGCTGCCACGGCAGCACCAAGACCAGATGAGGTGGTCTCCATGGAAACCGTTCTTTGGTATCATTTAGACATGGATGTTTTCCTGGGAAGAACATCATTAAAGCGAACAAAACAATAAGGGCAAAAGTGTGTCCGAGTCTGCTGCTGGGTTTTAAAAGACCTTAACAGAAGATACAAAAGTTTTTAAAAATGTAGAGTTCTAAAAGAAAAACGTGTTTCTCCTAAAGTTTCAATGCCCAGATGAGTCAAACGTCAGTGTCTCTGTGACTAACACAGACGAGTTACTGTTTCAATCGTTTACCCAAAAATAACTGGTCGAGAAACACAACAACAATAAAGGGAGTCAGCACCATTTTAACACAGCAGCTGCGTGAATTAGAAAGAACTCTTTTCTTACGAGACGGCTGCAAAACGATTCCCTCAAAGTCCGAATGAAACGGCAACAAAAAATAGATAAGCTTTAAAAAAGGATAAAAAATTCACAATGCAGCAGAAACTGTGAGTCATGCTTCCACATTAAGGTCTGTTTTTTTTTTTTAAACAACCACAATGCGTATAAACTCACCCCCTCCACTAAGTATATATATATATATATATATATATATATTGGTTGTTAATAAAATAAAGAAGTACTGATGATGAATAAAGCATAAAGCCAGTGGTTAAATTTATGCATTTTAACTAGGCACCAGCGAACCATGAGCGAACACCAGCAGCGCATGCACAGTTCTTCTTACACCTCATCAAGTCACTTAGGTGGTGCTTCAAAAACACAAATAATTCAACTGTAGTTTTTATAAAACTTAAAAAAAAAAAATGTCATGCAACAATAAATTACAAAAACGACTCATATAACCCCTGACTGTCCTTTGGGGAAAGAAAACTTTCCGTTTGGTTGAGCAAAAACAAATCCAGCAATGAAGAGCGCGACACCCAGGCAAAGAAATCCTCCCAGGATGGCTGCGAAAGTGGTTCGATCCCCTGTGGGGAACAGGAACTATGGTTACACTTCTGTTGTAGAGCAGGACGAGAGATGCTGCAGGTTCAGTGACAACAGATTACCTTTGGCTTCAGTCACGGTGATGTATTTGGTCGTTTGGCCGAGGTCGTTGGAGGCTGTGCAGCTGTAGATCCCCGACAGCAGAACCTCCTGATCCAAAACGGACCCGTTCCCGATTTGATTCAGCATCTTTTCTTGTGAGGAGTGTGCAAAACGCCAGACGTATGATGGACTTGGGTTTCCAGCAGCCTTGCAGTTTAAAGTTTTATTCGTATCAGACGTAACTTCCAGAGTCTCATTCTCAGGCTCGGCGAAGGTTGGTGGGTCTGAGAATGAACATAATCAAATTAAAATGCAGTCCGAGGTGAAACTAGCCCCTAGATTTGACAGGATTTTAGAGCTGCATTGAAGAATAGAGATAAACTCACATTTGACTGTTAATTTACGCCTCTCTGACTGAACTGCAGGAGGCTGTGGCTCGAGTCCTGTTGGCAACAAGCGCACGATCGCGTCACACCATATCTCACTTCCATCATCATCTCTGTGGGGTGTCAGGCGAGTCGCCCATGTGACATTTGAATATGAAGAAAAATTGTACTCTTCACTTAATATCTCGTTTCCTTTGTGCCAACGCACAGACAGGTAGGCAGTTGGTATAACATTAAAAACATCACACTGCAAGTCATACGGCTGACCCTCCACCATGGGACCCCAGTGAATTTGATTGAAGAGCACATGGGTTGGCGTTTCTTCAGCAAAAAAATTACAGAAAAGGCAAGTTATAATAACATTAACTTAAAAGTCAAATGAAAGTCTGCTTTAAACTGTCATATGAAGTTACTTACTGTAAACGATGATTGGTAGCTTTCGAAGTTGTTGGTCCTGGTCATCAGAGAACGTGACATAACACTGTGGTTGTGGATGCCAGTCCTTCACTTCAGTTATGTTAAGCTGAATAGAAGAGACGTTGCTTTGCATGCCTCCTGCGCTATATGTGGTCTCCCAACCCATTCCCACCACATTGGTGCAGGAGGACAAGCTGCAGGTGGCCGATAGAGAACCTCCGAACTTCACCACAACTACCGGAGGACTGAACTTTATTTCACAAGCACTCACAGGATTTCCTAAAGAAACAGGAAACATTTGCTTAAGAAAGAAAAAAAAGCTTATAGTGCAAGTAGCCATGTAAAAAAAAAATAAGCACAAAAGTGGAAATTACGAGATTGTTTTTCTGCAACAAACTGTTGCAGGAATGCTGAGTCAGCGTTCAGATTATTGTTTTACTTTTTCTAGTTTCTTCCGTATGTTTTATTGTTTGTTTGTTTTTTTCACTCAGACTGCTTCCAAACTTTGAGTTAGTTCAAACATTCATTTATCAAAATGTTTGGCTCAATCAAATTACTGTGCTATAACTTAATATTTTTAACTTTTATACTTTTATTTAGTTTTACTAAAACTCCTGTAGAAGCATGGAGTTCCCTTCACTGCCTTTAAAATATTGTCCTCCATATCATCTTCAGCATATTGCTTTATTTTTGTCTTTTTATGCTTTTAGCCGATTTACATTTTTTAGCTTTAAGTTACATTTCGTACACTTTTAGCTACTATTTAGCTTTTTCCCCATTTAGATACAGTTTTGATAATTTTAGCTTTAAAGTATGATTTGGCTAGATTTAGCTCGAGTTTGCTAAAAAAATTAGATGTGCTTTTGCCAACTAAGACTTTTAGTAAAGTTTGTTTTTTAGCTATTTTTTTTTTATGTTAGCCTTTAACAACAGTTCAGCTAATTTTAGCTTATACTTATGGTTCTGCTGATTTCATTTTGTGTAAATGCAATGCGAGTACTAAATGATTGCTAACATTTGTAAAGAATTGTAAACTTGACTAGAGAAATTGTATTTCCTGTGAAAATGCAGTGCAACAATTCAGCTTATTGCTGAAAAACAGCTGAAATTGGCTAAAAACATGCTGAAATGTAGCTAAAATTGAAGAACAAGCCGAATTTAGAAGATGAAAGCAGAAATTGTTTAAATAAGCAGAAAGGTGCAAAAATGGGGAAATTAGCTAAAAAAAAAAAAGCTGAAATTAGCACAAAAAAAGCTGAAAAGTAGCTGAAAAGGCAGAAAGAAGCTTAAACTACCAGAAGGATGTGGAAAGAATTGAAATTAGCTAAAAATGTGGAATTAGTTGAAATAGCTAAATTTAGCACAAAAACTAAATACTAGCTGAAATAGTAGAAAAAAGCTTAAACTAGCAGAAATAAGTTGAAAAGAGCATAAAACGCTGAAATTAGTAGAAATAGGTTATTTAGGCTGAAAGTAGGCGAAATAACCATGACAAACTTTAATTTATCTGGACAGCTGAAATTACCTAAAAATGCTAAAAAATTAGATAAAAATGTAGAACAAGCTTAAATTAGCAGAAGTAGAGTGAGCACAGTTTTGCCCACTTCAGCTGAAAGAAGCAGAAATGAGCACACAAAAGTGGAAATTATCTGAAAAAAGCTGAAGTTAGCAAACACAGCTGAAAAGTAGCTAACAAGCAGAAAGAAGCTTAAATTACCAGAAGGAAGTGGAGAAAGCACCATTTTGCTGAATTAGGCTGAAAAAAAGTTTAAATGAGTGCAAAAACTGTGGAATTAGCAGAAAAATATAAAATTAGAATTAAAAACAGCTAAATAGTAGCTGAAATAGCAGAAAATGCTGACACTTGCAGAAAAATAAGGTGAAAGGAACATAAGCTGAAATTTGCAGAAAGAAGTTAAAGAAGAACAAAAATTTTATAGTTAGAAAGATTCTGAAAGGAGCACAAAACTACTAAAAAAAAAAAACCAGCTGAAAGTAGCTGAAAAAGTTTAAATTTGCACAAGGAATCTGAAAGAAGCTGAAGCAGAACAAAATGTGAAAGGAGCTGTAAAAGGCTGTAAACAAATCTAAAGATTTGAAGGATGTAAAATGAGCTCAATTTATTTCCTGAGAAAAAACGGGACAGAAAAGGCTAAATATTTCAAAAAGCTAAAGTTGCACCAAAACCAAAAATTACAGCACCCTTCTCCTGAATGAGCCGAATGTTTTTGATCTATGATTTGTTGAAAGAGCACAAAAATTGTGGAACGAGAGCGATGTCGAAAAATGTACGGAAGACAAACGTATCAATAGTGTGTATCAATAGTGTGAATCAATAGTGTGAATAGTATTAACTGCTTCATGTGCATTCACACTATTAAAAAGAAAGTTAAGCAGATCAACAGAATCAACAAAACAATGGTAATAATAGTACAATTCTTAATGTCAAATTTGTGGTATTTCATTTGAACATAATATAATTTACTCTAAACTCTGTCTGCACGGTACAAGGCAGCTACAAAACAATAGTGAATATTCATCTCTTTGTCTTCAACTGCACAGCAGAAGATTCTAACTACCGGTAGATGTGCCTGGCACAGATTGGAAAACCGTCTTTATATTCAACAGTTTGTTGCTTCCGTTCACAAATGCAAAACAAGAAGAATTTACAAGCAGGTTCAGAATGGACAGCACCTTCTTCATGTCTGAGTCGTCATGAACTGAGGTGAAGGAAACCGTCCTGAGGTCTGGTGAAACAAAATCTGAGTATTTCAGTAGTCAGATTATTTTAGACGAGTGTTGTGGGAGGATAAACCCGCCTGCTAACAAAGCTCGACTGCTAATTAATAACACAATCACATAAAGCTAATTTAGGCTTATTTTAGGTAAATGGGTTTCCCAACAGGCTCTGTGGGAAAATGTGATAAACTGTCCTGTGTGCAACTCAAACCTGTCACCATTAAAACTTTGTCATTATGAAACAAAAAGTATTGCAAAACAAAACCAAAACAGCTGAGCTGCTGAAACAATACACCGAGAGAAAGCAGAACATTTCACTTTCAGAACCACAGCAGCTGAACTCCTCCGTTTCAGTTTCTAAAGATCACCAACATGCTGTTCCTGTCCTAACTTCCTTAGAATAAAGTCCAAATCAAAACCACAAAATTAAAGGTGTGGTACTCCTTGAAGGAATACTTCCATGCCTCAGTTTTGGACTAAGATCAAGTTTGGAAATGACAGATGTTATTTAGTCAAACCTTGAAGATAAAACTGGTTGTACAGGCACATCCAATGGCTATTTCCTGCAAGTTTCAGCAAGAATTGTCATGATGTTTATGTTATATTTTGCTAACACACACAGAGAGAGTTGACTCTACATACCGGTAGTTATTGTCAAAATTTAAACAAAGATCATGTGCAATTTAGTGACTCTTAGGATATGTGTGGATCATTCTACTACCACACCAAATTTTAGCTCAACAAATGTAAATATGGCTGAGGTAGAGGCATTTTTATACTTTTTAATGTCGGCATCGCTGTGGTGGCCATCTTAAATTGAGTTGACTCCAACAGTTAACCAGTCCCATTATTACTCTTTGAAAGCTTCAATGAAAATGACGTACTCCTGTGACTTTCAGATATTTTGCTAACAAACAGACAACCAAGGGCAGAAATCATTTTGCCTTTCTGCGGCAGGCAATAATAAATACACGCCTGTTCAAGTGAAATCCTATTCTGCCACAATGTGCCAATTGGATCAAATTAAATTATTAATTAAAATCGATCTTACTCAAAACAGTTTATGCATTATGGATGGAAGCACCTGTGGCATCGTTGTCAACAGGCCTAAAGTTGTGAGGAATACAAATGACAAGCAGGTAAACACCCTAGTATGTGTAAAAGCAAAGGATCATTACTGCATTAACATTTTTTTATACTTTAACAGATCCAGTGACGACTGTGACAATTGGTTCCAGGTCCAGTGCCTAAAACTAACTTGCACAGATTATGAAAAAGTCAAGAAAGGGACCTGGAAATGTCAACTGTGACAGTAAACTGTAATACGTGAAACGTGTTCAACACTGTTACAAAGTCACGTAAACTTTGTGACTGTAATAAAATTGTGTTATATCACTGTAAGCATGTCATTTTTTTAGCAGTCTACTAAAATATTTAAAAAAGGATTTTGTTTCACTACGTCAAATGACATAAGCTATAGAAAAAGTACAGTAATATGTTCTGTTTAAGCCAACATTCATAAAATATATATAAAAGTGGGGGTGCCTTACTTGTCCAGGCTATTACAATAAACCTTTTGCCAATATGCCATATTACATGGAAACTACTGAAAAATTATAGTCTTAATTTTAAAAGAAATATGCCATAAAATCAGGGGGAAAAAAGTCTTACTTTCTAAACACAATTCAACATGGATTTGACATCACAAGGCTGTTAGAAGCTAGTGACAAAATTAATTTTAATTAAATATGGTTATTAAAAAATACAAAACGCATTAAAATCTGATAAAAAATAATATTTCGTCTGTCTATTCTAGTAGAGTAATTAACCATCAGTTTCATGTTAGTGGGTCACACATGACCGCCATTGTTTTTGTTTTTCCAGGGTTTGGTAATTTATTGACGGTCCCTTAGCGAACCACTTCCGAGTCGTTGGAGGGAGCAGACCGAGAGCAGCTGACCGAAATCAGACCACCTGAATCGGGTCGAATGAGAGAAAGACACCGCTGAATCCGCGGAGCTCAAATATCCAATATTCAACATAAAATAACTTCGCCGTGTTTGACTTTAACTTTAAACGCAAACAGCTAGTTGTCCTAAGTTTAAAGGATTAATTAAAAACAAAAGGACTTTAAGTTGAGGAATCAAACAATCATGATGGGCGTAGCTCCTAAAAAATGGATCGACACCGTAAAAATGGAGTCGCGAGATATTCTGATTTTTGTACGAGCGAACAAGAAGCACTCATTTACCTGAGAGCGGAATTAAGATGAATATGAAGAACCACATTGTGGTTTGTAGCACAGTTTCTTTGAAAGAGGAAATACACTGTAGTTACGACAGGAAACGGTGTCCTTAGATCCCAGGGAGTCGTTTCCTTCTACCTGGAAAACAAATTGTAAAAGTCGCGAGCTCGAAACCAAAGGCAGCAATGGTGCGTTTGCGTGCATTACGTAAACCGCCCTTTTTTCTCGATTCCCAGCCTGGTTTTGTGACGTTCACATCCCCATGCGATGTAATTCAACGCTTGAAAACGTGAGCCTGCACGCAAAAGCCACATATGGGTAATTCCTAAACTCTCCAAAACGAGTGGCCGCCCTTTTTTTAAATAACAGTTAAATGTTTTTCATCTGTTGGATGTTGCAGCTTTAACTGTTAAACACCATCACTTTTAATAATTCCTCGTGACTTACTCAGATTTGCCCTTGAACGTTCAAAGTTGTCTAAAATGTAACTATTTTCATTTTTGTGTGACTACCCCATACTTAATGGAAATGAGGGTGAGTCACTTTTCTGGCTAAATATCAAAACAATCACGGAAACCTTTACAGTGGTGCCCAAAGTGGGGCCCGCGGGCTAAAGTTGGTCCGCCAAGTCATTTAATTAGGCCCGCCAAGCTGTCCTCACTACTATATAAAAATTTCCTTTGAAGAATCAATGTGTTTACACTCCATCATTCCAAGTTTAATGTTAGATGGAAAGTTGGCCCAATGACTACTGTAATGACACTACACAGCTGGAGTGACTACTTTGTGCATTAAGTTTTTTTAAATTGTAATAATTTTATTTTGACAGACTTCATACTGTCTCTCAGCAGTTTCTTGCTGCTGAATAACATTTCCTTTGACAAAGCTGAGCATCATGTAGGTGCCCATCACACAACCTTATTGAGCACCCCTCAATTTTAACTTAGCATCTCTGAAAAATTAAGAAACCATCATTAGGATTTTGTAAGGAAACAGTTCTCAAATATTAGATTCATGAAAATATTGAATAAATGTTGAATAAATATGGACTAAATGACAAGTCTCAAAAAGGCCAATACAATCTATAATTTTTTTGCACGAATCACGCCACCTGTCAATTAGTCCAGTAGGCACATTAGCAATTGACCAATCAGTGACCTCAATTTGTTCTGAAGTGAACGTCCCTTGCCTGCAGAGCTGCAGCTTTGCAGTCGGAAATTTCAATGAGTTTACATCTTTTGTTTCATGTTAATCTACTGTAATAAACCTTTGTAAAATACACCAAAATGCAGGAAATGGCATCTACTTTATTAAATTTTTTCAGGGGGAGGACCCCCAGACAGCCACCACCACCACCTGTTCTGTAATGTTCTTTATACAGAATGTAAGGATAAATAACTGTTTAATAAATAAATGGACTTTACTTAAAGAATTATTTGCATTTCATGTATATTATTGCATTTGGCCCTCAGCCCTCTAATAGATTTTAAATTTGGCCTTTTCAGAGAAAAAGTTTGGGCACCCCTGATCTATTACTTCCTTTTCTGTTTTAAACACTTTGCTTAATTTGTTTTTGACTAAATTGTTTGACAGTGTTCTGGAAAAGCGACAATTTTAATAGTTTAAATACTGTTTTGCTCAAGCTACAAATATTTACAGCAGTATTCACAAATTAGACAGTGTCTTACTGTTTCTTTTATCACAGTTGAAATCAGAGCAAGTCCTTCATCAAAGTTTTACACTTACTTGAAAGCCAACGTTACACAGATTTTATAAATAAATACAAAGCTTTGCCTCACATAAATATTTTTCTGAATAAACATTTTAAAGAGGGCGGTCAATCATTCAAAAACACAAAAGTATGGAACAAGATCATTTGTCCCACAAGGCCTGAGCCTGACAGTGTGACACTAAAAAAAAAAGTCAAACACGAACAGATGGCATGTATGCAAGTTTCTTTCGGATGCTCCCTTCTTCAGGGGTCACCACAGCGAGAAAACTCGTGAAAGATTTGGCAATTGTTTTACGCCGGATACCCTTCCTCACACAACCTGGGCTCGAACCCGCAACCTCAGGCTTACAAGACCACCAAGCTACCTCAGCCCCTAAGAAATGGCATGCAAATGGGTTATTTAAAGTTTCTGAATTTTTCCTCAAAATTTTTTTACCGGTTTAGTATCAACAGAATCACATTAGTTTTACCCTCCCAACATGCTAAAATGACACACCTTTTAAAAATACTTTCATATATGACCATAAAATTCACAGGGGGACATGAAACACTATAAATACAAAGTCAAAAATACAGCAATCCTATTAAATTAACTTTGTATAAAAATTCTATATAAAAATTGTGCCAGATTTTAAGCCCTTGATCCATTTCCCTTTTTGTCCAGTGAAAGGAGGTGGAATCCAGTAGCAATTGCTGAGTAAAGCTGAGTAATTGGTTGTAGGGATACAGATGTGAAACCCAAGTGATGTTTGGTGTAGTAGAGGACATTTCCAGCCTGTTTCAGTGATATTCAGTCTTTAAAATATTGTAAAGTTTTGGTGTCAGTTTCGGCTCTTTCCCAGCATCCATCCTGTTTTATCAACACCTGTGCTGCTACGACAGCTTGGTCACAGGTAACTGGGTGTCCCATCCGTTGTTAGCCACGTTGCCATTCTGACTGCTGAACTTGGGGTTTTTAAAGCTGTAGCGGCGCATCCTGGTGTTCTTGTAGTAGATGGAGTAGATGAAGAGGAAGACGATGGAGATGATCACCACTGTGAGAGCCACAAACCCAGCAATGAGGGGGAGGTAGTCCTCTAAAGAAACCAGACACAAAATCATACATTAAAAGGCGTCTCCATTTCTGCTGTTTAACAGCGTAAACATTCTTCTCTGTAGGGTTGTTTATTATTTTTTAGGGAAATATGAAATACAACTTGCATTGCTAAGAATAAGGAATCGCAAGTTAAGATTAACACAGCACCTTTAGGATCAACAGGAACCCATTTTTATATTAAAAACATAAGTCTTGAGTAGGATTTCCGTTTTCAGACAAAGACCTTTGATAGTCTACCCATTGTTCAGAGCCTGGATCCTGCAGGTTTTCTGCTGCATCACATCCATTACATTCAGAATTGATGCAGGGCTGCACCACTTGTCATGATCACAAAACCTGCGGAAGATCATGTCTGAGCTGCAACATCGCGATCCGTTACCAGACTGGGAGTCGCCGTCGGGGTCATTAAGTTATGCAAATGATCAGCAGCAACACTCAACACGCATGATGGTGACATGCAAACTATTTCTGGCAGGATATCAAGAGGACAAAACAATGCAGGTAAAATAATCAACTGCTGTGGCGCAGAACTGGACAACCATTTTTTACACTATCCTGATTCACGCTCAATAATCTTCTTCTTTCGGCTTTTCCCTCGTCAGGGGTCGCCACAGCGAGTCATCCTCCTCCATCTCTCTCTGTCCTCTGCATCCTCTGTCCTCACTCCAACTACCTCCATGTTCTCTCTAAGTGCATCCATATATCTTCTCTTTGTCTTTAGCAGCTGTATTTCTAACATCCTTCTACCGATATACCCACTGTCCCTCCTCTGGACATGTCCAAACCATCTCAGTCTCTAACTTTATCTCCCAGTTGTTCAACCTCTGATGATCGCATTCCTAACCTTATCCATCCTTGTCACTCCTAAGGAGAACCTCAACATAACTGTTTCCACCACTTCCAGTTCTGTCTCCTGTCCTTTTGTCCATGTCTGTGTCTCCAGACCATACAACATAGCTGCTCTCACCACTGTCTTGTAAACGTTTCCTTTGAACTATTGTCGCAAATCACTCCTGAAACTTTTCTCCATCCACTCTGTCCTGCCTGGACTCTCTTTTTCACTTCTTTACCACATTCCCCATTTTCCTGGACAGTGTACTTGAAGTCCTGCACCTTTATGGCCTCGGCTCCTTGTAGCCTCACTGTTCCACCTGCCCCCCTCTCATTCACACACATGGACTCTGTCTTACTACAGTTAACTTTCATTCCTCTTCTTTCATGATCAATAATCCAGGTAGAGGTTTCTTTTTGTTCAAACAAAACCGTCCAGAGGACCTGACTTAACTTTGTTGCATTTTTTACAGTGTTTAATCTTTCTAATTTAGTTATGCAACACTCCTGGCAGCCTCATGTTTGACATATTTTGCTGCTGGAAGGAGTTTTCCTGCTCAGCCCAGTGATTTCCATGACCCCTCCTAGATGAACATTAACAAACAGTTTCAAAAAGAATCAAACTTGAAGAAGTGCAACCAGCAATCCAGCTACAATCAGACACTGATTTTTTTTCCCATTCTTTCAAGAAAACACATCCAGATCTAAAACCCACACCAATGATAAAAAAAAGTACTTTTAAAAATTGTCTCAGATCTGCTTATCTTATTTTAGTCATAAACCTGGGAAGTCTGCCAAGGTTGGTACAACTTGTACAGCTCAACAGGTCGTAGCATTTGCAGAACTTAAAAATACGGCAATCTAAATGGATATATTAAAAGGACCTCGTATCAGCAAATAAATACTGTTGAAAACAAAATGTATGTACATTACCTATTAAAATAACTTTAACCTCTTGTATTACGGTCTTAAACTCATTGGTAGCGTTGCACTTGTAGAAGCCTGCGTCGTCCACCACGAGCTTCCCCTCAGATTTAAGGATCGCTGTTTTGGAAGTGTACTCCCAGTGGATTGTCGGACGAGGGTTACCATCGGCCTCACAAACGAGCTCCTCAGGAGAATCTCTGAACACCAGGACCGTCTCTGGAAGCTTTGTGGTATTAATTTTAGGTTCATCTGTAAAACCAGAGGCAAAACGCAAGAGTGAGGACAGATTCTGTGACGTGTTAAAGAGTTTTTACAACTGACTACTATAAAGCAAAAGTAATCCTCACAGAGCACAAGGATGTTTAAGGCGCTGGACGTCATGTTTGGAGGCTGTGGTCCTTCCGGTCCCAGGTTCAACTCAGCCTCACATCTGACCTCGATTCCATTGTGAAACCTCTCCAGAGTGATGTTCATGGTGCACGACACGTTTACCGGAGATCTGTTAGAGCTGTTTGGACTGAAGTCGCAGGTTGCGTTACCTAATGGCTCAATGGTTTTGTTCCCTTGATAAAACGTCCACCACACCGCGAGGTTCTGGGCAGGGGCCACGCTGATGATGTCACACCGCAACTGCACTTCGGTGCCTTCCACAGGTAGCCTTGAGTTATCCATGACCTGGATGGATACGCTTTCTGGAGTTTCTGCAGGTGTTGATTCAAGAAAGAACGGAAAAAATGTATTAAATAAAGAACAAAAATATAGACCTAGCAGCATTCTTTAAAGGAACGCTATCCCCGCCATGTTTCAAGCAAGAGATTTAGATCAAGATTATCTTACGTTGAGAAACAACAGACGTATCAGTCAAACTTTGAAAAATGTGTGATTTCAGAGTATGTGTTGTGGATAACTCATGGGTCCTACCACATCAAATTTTAGTTCAATATCTGTAAAACTGACTGTCAGAGCAATTTTTATGCTGACTAATGTCTAAAGTAACAAAATAGCACAATATGTTTGCACTTGGACTATGTATTGTGAATGACTTTCAGCTAATATCACGCTGAATTTTAGCTTAATATTTGTACATCTTACAGAATTAGAGTAATTTCTGTGTTTTCTAAAGCTAGTTGGCTGTGGCAGCCATCTTAAAAAGTGAGTTGGCTCCAAAAGTTAATCACTTGTAGATATACACCTACTATTACCTAAAGGTTTCATTAAAAATCTATCTAGTGGCTCACAAGATATATTTAGGTAACAAACAGAGTTTACTTTAAATAGTTAATGACAAAAACCTCTTGCTCAATCTGTTTGTCCTTAGAATACGTTTTGGAGATTAGTCCCAGATACTACCAAACCAAATTTCTGGTCATAACTGAGTTGCTCCTCACAGTTCCAGGAACTCGTCTTAAGCGCAGAGGGGACAGGGCTTTCTCTGTAGCAGGACCAAGACTTTGGAACGAGTTACCTCTGCTTGTCAGATATGCCCCCTCCCTCTCGGTTTTCAAGTCCTGTTTAAAAACCCACTACTATTCAGTAGCTTTCAACACCAGATGATCTGTGTTTGAACTTGTATGCTCCACACCGGTTAGCCGTCATTATCTGCATCGTTTTTATGTCTATATTTCTGATTTACTTCATTTTGTATTTTGCTTTGTGTGTTTCCTGTTGTTCTGTCTGTACAGCACTTTGGTTGGCCTTGTCGCTGTTTTAAGTGCTCTATAAATAAAATGGTATGGTAGCTTGATCAATGTCTAGAGTTGGCTGTCATATTAATTAGACATACTCACTGTAGAGAGTGTAGGGTAAAGCTTTAGAGCAGTTTCCTATCCCGGTAAACACTCCATGACAAACAGGCTGAGGGTCCCAGTCTCTGTGGGTGTCAGCAAACCAATTGGTGTTCACTATTTTAGTGCCTTTCCCAGTCATCCAGTAGATTTCCCCAACATTTTCTTCACTGGTTTTGGGTTTGCACTGTACAGCCTGCCAGCTGCTTTGGTACTGCAACACCACCTCCTTTGGAGATATTTCAACAGGGCATTCCAGTTCTGCACCTGTGAGAAGAAGGGTGGGAGTGAAAAAATGGTATTTCTTCTACATTAAGGTGACAGGCATGCATTATGATAACGTATCAGATCCAGGCTGGTGTGTTGAAACAGAACAGCAAGGCCAGTTTTAAGCACAATGGCAGCACTGAAGGCGACAGGAAAAGGCTCAGGAAGGATACACCCCTCCCTTAATGCAGTCTGGACTTGGTGCCCACCATTCTTTCAGCTTGACTGCACACATGTTAGTTAAATGTGTCATCCCACCATTCCCATAAATATAATAAATAACTGAGACCTAGAAAAGACGAGAAATGAATGGCACAAGACGCCATCAAAAGTAACGACTAGTGTTTAAACTTCTTGTCTAACACAATTTAAAGACAACAAAAACAGAGTGAGTCTTCACATGCAGACATTTGAGGCTAAACGCCTATAATAAACCGTCAGAGTGTCGACACCAAAGAAAACGTGAGGTGTTGAATTGTTTCACACAACTTACTCGACTTTGTCCCGTTAGAAAGCGACAGCAGCGTTAAAATGAAAAGCACCAGACGAGCACCGCTGAAATCCTCCATGGACGAAGAAACTCGGTTTCTTCTTTAAAAGAAAGAGTTTTTGTGAGCGGGGGCAGGCGGCTTTCTTCAGCCGGAGCCGGACTGGAAGTGCGGACTTTATTTATTTATTTATTTAGTGGGAGGAAGCTAAGCTAACAGCACCGAGCAGCAGCTCCGCGTCGGCGGAGAGGAAACGACCCCCTCCCCCGCCACCCCGCCTCGAACACCGGGCGCAGACACACACGCGCTCCCCCTGCTACGACGTAGCTAAAAATGTAGCAGCGAGAGAGACAAGCTGCCACCGACAAGAAACGAGCTACCAAACTGAACGAGAAATACAAATATAATGAATAATGAGGCATAACTTTGACTAATGTGCAACTTTTAAATGACCTTGTGAAAACTTGGACAATGATATTGGTTCGTGTGTAAGTAAAATATATTAACAGTATTAATGAAAAGCCTACATGAGAAGTAGGGGTGTGAAGGGTGCTGCAGCACCAACAAGAGCTTCTCTGCAGAGCAAAAGTGGGCGTTTCTGGAGAATGGGCGTTTTTGGAGGGCACACACTGATTGGCTAGCTGTATTTGTTGGCTCTTTTATGCGTGGGTTTTCTCCGGGTACTGCGGTTTCCTCCAACAGACCAAAAACATTCATGTTAGGCTGATTGGTGACTCTAAACTGTCCCTAGGTGTGAGTGAGGAAGTGAATGGTTGTTTGTCTCGTTTGTCTTTATGTGGCCCTGTGATGGACTTGCGACCCGTCCAGGGTGTACCTCGCCCCTCGCACAGTGATTGCTGGACATGGGCACCGGCGACCCCCGTGACCCAAAATGGAATAAGCGGGTAAAAGATAATGGATGGATGGATGGATCTCTGCAGACAAATTCAGAAGGCGTATCTGGATGGCCACATCTGATTGGACGACAAGAAAAAAGGCATATCTGGACGGTCACATCTGATTGGACGACAAGAAAAAAGCGTATGGACAGTCACATCTCATTGGACGATAAAAACCAAGGCATTACTGGAACATGCTGGTGAAGATTCTCAGTCATCCAGGACATGATGAATTCAAAAAACGTTCAATACAAAAACAACTGGACTTTATTTGTAACAGAAGACGTTTCGCTCCTCATCCGAGGAGCTTTCTCAATTCAAAGAGCAGTGAGTGAGGGATTCAGGTTATAAGGCTGAATGAGATACACACATATTAGGTGTGAACTGCCAATCTACATTCAGTTCAATTCAATTCAAAAAGACTTTATTAATCCCAAAGGGAAATTATTTGTTGTTGTAACTCATTATCCTCATTTCATTAAGAGATGTTATAGATACTGATGGTTGTAGTCAGGAAAGGATCTCTTGTAAAGGTCCATCCCACAGTGGATCCTAAGAAACTGGCTGCAGATGCCGTCCGATCCGTCCACCCAGACTCGGCTGGCCTTTCGGTTCCCCCGGGCTGTAGGACCGCCTGAATGCTGGGCAGAACTCCTCCCAGAGCGATGGCCACTCCTCCCAGCAGTCTACCGAGCTCCTCGTCGCTGCGGACAGCCAACTGTAGGTGCTGAGGGACAATCCTGTCCTTCCGCTGTCATGAGCCGTGTTTCCTGCTAGTTCCAGGATCTCAGTGGTCAGGCACTCTAGCACAGCTGGCAGGTAGATGAGAATGCGTCCAGATAACATCCTTTTCAACTCATTTGAGAGTTGGGGCCATAGTTGAGATATTATTTGAGCTTTTGAGATGTTAATCAGCAGCTGTTGTTGTCGAAAACTGCCTTGTTGCCATGGTTACGCATCATAACAAATGTCCAAAACCAAAAACGTCTCAGTAAGTATCCTTCCGGCTGCACAGCGTCCGATACCAGAGGAAACAATAATCCAAAAAATATGATTTACATCCAGAAAACCAGGAATTAAAGTTTTGAAAAGCTAAATCTCAGAATGAAAGTAACAGAGCTGCTCCAACATGCAGCCACCTTGAGCGGCGCAATTCTAGAATCAAATTCTAGAATTCTAGAATCACACATATGTGTGTGTGTGTCTTATCTCATTCAGCCTTATAACCTGAATCCCTCACTCACTGCTCTTTGAATTGAGAAAGCTCCTCCGATGAGGAGCGAAACGTCTTCTGTTACAAATAAAGTCCAGTTGTTTTTGTATTGAACGTTTTTTGAATTCATTACTGGAACAAAAAAAAAATCTGGTTTGGTTGTAACTTACCTAAAGAGCCAGCATATACAGCTAGCCAATCAGTGTTTGCCATCTACAAACGCCTATTAAATACAGTTAGCCAATCAGTGTCTGCTGTCCACATATGCCTATGGTCCAGAAACACCCTTTTGGTCTGCAGAGAACCCCTTCTCGGCTCTTTAGGTAAGTTACGTCAGCTCTTTTTTTAAACTGAAGGTTTCTAAAAAAACAGCGTTATGTCTGCTGTCAAACACAAGAAGATTCTCTTTTGTTCTTGGGTTGTAGGCTGCACCTGAAACAGATTGGTTTGAGTGTGGTCTGGGTTCAGCCTTTTTTTTGTCCAATCAGATGTGGCCCTCCAGATACGCCTTCTGTATTTGTCTGCAGAGATACCTATAGCACCCCATGATAAATCCCAGAGGGCATGCATGTATGTTAAAAACTTTTCCATGCAGGGTCACATGGAAAGCCTGTGGTGCCACAAATAGGTCTACAAGACTTTTCATGAGACTTTGATGTGTAAACAGCACATAACACATTTACACATAATTACCGTGGTGTTTACGCAGTAATCATGTGTGGGGTAAGATGAGGTGTCATGAATGGCAAACTTGCGCACAGATAGCATAAGGCTGTGGCCAAATCAGATGATGTTATGTGGGTGTTTACAAGAATGAAATCAAGTTTTTTATGGTTATGAGAAATCCCCAAATTATCGAACATTTAGTTAAAAAAAAACATCCATCCATTGTTTTTATCCATTGCTGCAGCTTCAGCAGGGAGGCCCAGACATCGCTTTCCACAGTCACCTCTTCAAGCTCTTTTGGTGAACTCCAAGGCGTTCCCAGGTCAATCAAGAGAGATAGTCTCTCCAGCGTGTCCTGGGTCTTCCACAAGGTTTCCTCCCAGTCAAACATGCCCAACGCACCTCCCAGTACCCAGGGAGCATCCTTACCATATGCCTGAAACACCTAAACTGGCTCCTCTCGACGTGGAAAAGTAACATTTCTACTTTGGGTCTATCTACCGTCACAGAGTCTGCAATACTGTAGATGCTGCACCAATCAGTCTGTCAATCTTACGTTCCATTCTTCCCTCACTCATGAACAAAACTTCAAGATACTTGAACTCCTCCACTTGAAGCAGAACCTCATCTTCAACCCGAAGAAAGCAATCCACACTTTTCTGACTGAGGACCATGGCCTCAGATTTGGAGGTGCTGACTCTCATCCCAGCTGCTTCACACTCTGCTGCAAACTGCTCCAGTGAGAGCTGACGTTCACGGCACAATGACACCAGGACTACATCATCTGCAAAGAGCAGAGATGGAATCCTGAGGCTACCAAACTGGACTTCCTCCGGTCCCTGGTTGCACCAAGAAATTCTGTCCTTAAAAGTTATTAACAGAATCTAACAACTGGCAGCCTTGGCGGAGTCCAACTCCTGCCCTGAAGGTGTCCGACTTACTGCTGTCAATACAAACCAAACTCACACTGCTTGTATAGGGACCGAGCAGCCCATAGCAGCGTGCCCCTAATCCCATCTCCCCCCATTGTGGGGGAGCACTCCCCACAAGGTACACGAGGAATACGGTTGAACGCCTTCTCCAAGTCCACAATACACATGTAGACTGGATGGGCAAACGGACTCCTTGAGGACCTTGTGAGGGTAAAGAGCTGGTCCAGTATTTCACTGCCAGGACAGAACTCCATTGTTTCCCCTGGAGCCAAGGTTCGACCAACGATGGGACTCGCTTCTCCAGTACCTCTGAATAGACCTACCAGGGAGGCTAAGGAGAGTGAAACCCCTGTAATTGCAGCACACTCTCTGGTCCCCCTTTTAGAAGAAGGGAACCACCACCCCAGTCTGCTAATCCAGTGGCACTGCCCCTGATGCCCACGCAATATGGTGTGTCAACTAAGACAGCCCCACAACATCTAGAGCCTTAAGGAAATCGGGGCAGATCTCATCCACCCCCGGAGCCCTGCCACCACGGAGCATTTTTACTTCCTCAGTGACCTCAGCCACAGTTATGGACAGACCAACCTTGAAGTCCCCCAACTCAGCTTCCTCCATGGAAGACATGCTGTTGGGATTGAGAAGTCCTAAGAAATATGTCTTCTACCTCCCAACGACATCACCAGTTGAGGTCAACAGTACCCCACTTTCACTGAACAGAGTGTTAGTAAAGCACTGCATTTCCCTCCTCAGCCGCCTGATGGTTTGCCAGAATCTCTTCAGAGCTGACCAAGAGTCTGTCCAAGGCCTCACCAAACTCCTCTCACATCTGAGCTTTTGCCTCAGCAACAACCAAGGCTGCAGACTGCTTACACCTCCAGTACTCCTCAGCTGCCTGAGTCCTATCCTGTCCGGAGTCCTACCAGCCAACTAGGCCAGCTAGGACTCCTTTAGATTGAGAGCCTCTCTAACCCAGGGTGTCCACCAACAATTTTGTGGATAGCCACCGAGAGAAGCACCAACAACCTTGTGACTTTTTAAAAACTTTTTTCGTATATTGTATAGATCCTAAAACTATGTCTCAACAAGATTACCCTGTATAAATAAAGTAAATGAAAGGCAGGGGCAACCTTTGACATTCTTGCTGTGATGCAACAGCTTTAACCACTTCATCCCAATGCCACCCATATTAAAACACATGGTTAAAAAAATTAAGGAAAAATGCATTAAACCAGATTTTATCATTGCTATACAAGTTTGAATTCCAATATTTGGAATTAAACAATCAGTACTCTTATTGGATATGTGTGCAAAATGTACAGTAAAACACATAAAAAGTAAGCAGATTATCACTGGGTCAGGATTGGAATTCTTTAGATACTGTCTATGCAAAATATACAGCATAATTAATATTCATTTAAGACGGCATGCACTTTCAGTGTGCATTTCACTACATACGTTTAGTTTAATGATTTTCATGATAACTGTGTTTAGATTCACAATATATTGCAAATACTGCAGTGTGGGAGTTAAGGAACTATCTTTAAGACAATATCAATCTGAAAAGCATATTGTATCTGTATTGGAATTTAGATTTTTTTTTATCTTAAAAAATGGCTAGAGAATAAAGTCTGAAGACAGGTTTTTTTCTTCCATAATGCCTTTTAAAAATTCTTATTCAGACTGTGTAATATTCCAAAACCCATGTATGTTTTCTTTTCTTTTTAGGAAACTAGGAAACTTGCATGCAACATCACCCTAGTGGAGAAGATTAAATGTTATCTGAACTATTTTAAATGGTGCAGTTTGAGATCACGTGGTATTTGGAATTGGCTTTTTGGGAAAAAAAAATAATAATAATTTAAGGGCACATAAACCATCAATATGAGAAAAATATTGTGTAGATTTTGTTGATTTGACTTTACAGTGACCACCTTCAATGTATGTAAAGTAGCACATAGCCTAACACAACATGTGCAATTTAATGTAAAAGCTAGTTTACTGAAGAAAGCATTATTTTAGCACACTGGGTTTGTGTTCTTAAAAGAAATATACCAAAGAAAAATTCAAAACTAACACACAGAGGTCTGTGGTTTCAGTGAGTTTAAACAATAATGACTTTTTAAAGACTGTGTTGCTGTATTTGCATATTGCCCAGAACATCCTTGTAAAAGAGATTAATAATCTCAATGGATTTCTTCCTGGTAAAATAAAAGTAAAAAAAAAAAAAAAACAATAATCAGAAGAACAAGAACTAAAACAAATTCTGCCTCAGTACCTAACTTGATTTTGTGGAAAGGATTTCTGACACTCATTTCGTGTCACATGACTTTTATGTATATGTATTTTGGCTTTGAAGGCCATTTCTGGAATGTCTTAAGTGATTATCTCATTAGTCACATGAATAACGTTCATGCATTTTACCTCTTACAGTGACCCGGACTTTTTTGAAGACAGACCCTTGCTCCGTCCAGGCTTGACATGTGTAGAAGCCCGTGTTCAGCTCAGTGGCGTTGAGGATGATTAGACAAGACACTCCATCTTCAGTTTCCTCAATCAAATTGCCTGCCTGATAGTAGTGCCAGTAGTAGTTTGGTTTGGGGTTAGATACAGAGGAGCACTTCAGCCTCAAATTTCCACCAACATCCACTTCAGCATCTTCAAGCTCAAAAATCTTTGACGGTGGGTCTACAGAAAACAGTTCAAGCGAAATGCATGAAAGAAAATCCACTGATGTCATAAGGACAATACCCTGCTTAAAAAGAATGTGTCAAGGACTTACACAAAACATTAATGTCCAATGGGATTGTTTTGGAAACTGACAGGGCGCTGGAAACTATGACCTGGTAGTGCCCTGCATTTCTTCTTGTCAGGACCTGAGGAAGTTCCACCTGCTCATTATCTTTGAACCAGATTTCCTCGGGTTTAGGAAAGCCCAGAGAGCATGCGAGGTTGTTATTAGAGTTTTCTAGTATGGTGAATGTCTGAGGACAAATCCACTCTGGTCCATCTGAAAGGTAAAATATAAAAGCACCTTTTCAACTTGAATCGGAACACATCAATGGGATGTTACTCATAAATATCTAGCATATTTAGTATGTGTCTCACGTTAGGTATTTTTGTCGTTTATGGTTAAACTAAAGCACTTAGCACTCAAGGTCATTATGTGTACAAAACAGCATGATGCATCAATTCAGGTTGCATAGATTTTGGTAGAATTCTATCTAAAAATGAATGTGACACTCACACAACACATCAACCTGGATGGTCTTCTCCTGTAAGGTTCTTCCCTCAGCTTTGACCAGGAACATTCCTGTGTCATTTCTTCTCAAAGGGACGGTCAAGTTTATGAGGCGTCCCTCTTTCAGCCACTCGACATGCGGGGTGGGATTTCCTGTCACTCTACATGTGTCCTCCAAGGTTTCCCCTTCATGTAACTCGATGGTAGAACATTCAATGTCAGGCCCAACTGCAAACAGCAGAAGGCAAGTTTTTAGAAGCAACATGGAAAGAAGTGTTTGTATGCATTATTCTGTGAATGCTCATTCACAGTCACACTGCTGTGCATTTTTTGCAAACTACTTTGCATTCTTCATCTCATTTGAGATGGGTGCCGTAACATTTACTCATTAAAATATTATTTTTTTAATTTTATTTCATTAACCTTTATTTAACCAGGCAAATCCCATTGAGATCACAGATCTTTTTTGCAAGGGAGGCCTGGGCCTGAAGGCAGCCTAACATGCATGTTCTTGGTTTGTGGGAGGAAGCCGTAGTATCTGGAGAAAACCCACGCAAGCACGAGAAGAACATGCAAACTCCACACAGGAAGACCCCAGGTCCAACTGGGGATTGAACCCAGGGAACTTCTTGCTGTGAGGCAACACTGCTAACCACTGAGCCAGAGTATTAAACTACGGTATTGCTCTTTTTGATATCTGCTTCAGAATACTAGCTCTACAATTGTCTTTTAGTTTTGAACTATCATTCTGCTAATGTTCTGCTACTTTTAGCATTCTGCTATCTTTTCATTACTTTTGGCTTCCAGCTAATCTTTTGCTATTTTTAGTTTTCAGATAACATTCTGCTCATTTTTACCTTGTAGCCACCATTTTACTACTTTTAGCTTTCATTTAGCGTTTAACTATCACTTTGCTATAGCCTTTTCCTGGCCTTTTGATACTTTAATGTTTAGCTACTGCTAATTTTAGCTTTTAGCAAGCTTTTTGCTGTTTCAAGCTAGCATTTTGCTACTTTTAGCTAGGGTTCTTTTTTGTTTAACTTCTAGTTCACCTTTTAATACTTTGAGCTTTTAGTTAGCCTTTTTCTGTTTAAAGCTGGCATTTTGCTACTTTTAGCGTTTAGCTTGTTTTGCTACAAATGCAGTTCACTGAGACTTTGTATCGCTGGTCCTTTTTTCTTTCTAAAAATCTGTGGTCTGCTCAGAATAGCAATTTACACAAGCCTACCTGTTACACTTTCAGAACTTGTGATAGTAAAACAAAAGAATAAGCTAAATGTAATGGCATACTTACATTGAATTTCTTTAATTTGATACTCTTGTGAAGATGTAAGTGGAGGTACTTCAGGGCCCAAGTCCATATGTGCCTCACATCTGAAAGTGGCATTGCTGTCGCTTCTTTTCAGGGTAAAATAATAGCTACTTGATACATTTTTGGGCGCATTTCCATCCATGTGCAAATGAAAGTCTTCTACCTTAATCACGGTTTCTTCTTTGTACCACGTCATAATGAGTTTGTTAATTGGTGCAACGTTCAAAATGTTACATACTAAGTCATATGGATTCCCTTCTGTCATTTCTGAAGTACTGCTGGAGCTGATGCTGATGGATTCTGGGAAACCTAGAGAACAGGAATAGATTGTCAAGCACAGTTAACTTATGAATTTAATGTGTGCACATCAACAAATACTTACTATATATAACAAGTTCAGGCCTTTTTTGACACTGACGTCCATCCAAATCACTAAAAAAGCAGAAGGGATTTATGTTCCACTGCATTAAACTCTCAACAGTCCACGTCAAAGATGTAACGTTTGTGAGGCCGATGCCTCCTTGCGAAGCCTCCCAACCTAATCCGTCGAGATTACTAACTGTTGAGGTACAGTTCACTGAGACGGGGTCTCCATATTTCACCACAACCTTGGAGGGGCTGAACTCGATTGGACAGGATGCACCTTCACCTGCCGAATTAAAGCAAAATCACACTTTCATACTGTATTTTCATTATTAACTCAAGAGAAGCACTTTGTTACATATTTATTCTATTTTTTTTAATCACCGCAAAGCGATGTGGTGAAATGCAAATCTGACATAAAATATTAACAAGACAACATTTATAAGTCAGGTCATCTGGACAGTTTCTTTTTTTTTTTTTGTGTGCTGAAACGTTTCGCCTTCGATCCGGAAGACTTCATCAGTCAAGAAAACACACAAGAAAACTGATTCTTCCCCCAACAGCTTACTCCAAATTGGAACAAACCAGTTCTGCTTGTGATAAGATGAAGCCTTCCGGACTGAAGGCGAAACGTTTCAGCACAAAAAAAAAAGAAACTGTCCAGATGACCTGACTGAAAAATGTTGGATTGTGTACCTGGATTATTGAGCATGGACTTTGTTATTAACAAGACAGTTGAGAAAGATCAAAAGTGCATCAGATATGATTTCACTGATTAAACAAACATACTCTAGTTTTGCTGCACTGTATAGTTATTTTTTGCACAAAGAAAACTATCAGCCAATAAATTACTTAAATCATTGTGCTACTGGGCTGCCAAAATACCAGTGTTTTTTAAGCCAAGCTGTGGTCCAAAATCATCATGGACCGTCAGATAACCTAATGACCTCACATATTCACCAGTTTTTTTTAGCAACACACTGACTGAGCACTTGTTGTTCTGACACACACGCAAACACACACACACACACACACACACACACACACACACACACACACACACACACACACACACAAAGACAGAAAACATTATTTGGCTTCAAAAATCACAAAAAAGTCAAAGTCAATGTCCTGCAAAAATCTGAACAGCTCAATATTGGTGTAAATCATATTTCTCTGATAGATTCCAATTTGTAAATGTAAATAATGAATCTTCTTCATACACCAAAGTTAGTCATGGAGATCCTCAGGGTTTCGTACTTGGACCAGTACTCTTTACTTTATATACAATATGCTTCCATTAGGTAAAGTTATTAAACAGCATGGGATAAATTTTCATTGTTATGCTGATAATACACAGTTATATTTGTCCATAACACCCAATGAATCCAATCAGCTATTTGGACTACAAACATGTCTTAAAGACATATAAATCTGGATGACCGGACATTTTCTCCTTTTGAACACAGACAAGAATGAGATTTTGGTTTTTGGACCTGAGCATCTTAGGAATTAATTTTTCAGTCTTCCATCCTCCTTAGATGGCATTAATTTGGCCTCCAGCTCTAATGTTAAAAATATTGGTGTTATTTTTGATCAGGACATGTCTTTTATCCCCCACATTAAAAATGTTACTAGAACTGCCTTCTTCCACCTGCGTAATATCACTAAAATTAGAAACATCTTATTTAAAAATGATGTAGAAAAAATGGTTCATGCATTTGTCACGTCTAGACTGGACTATTGCAATGGTTTGTTAGCTGGGTGTCCAAATACTTCCTTAAAGTCTCTTCCGTTAATGTTAATCCAAAATTCTGCTGCCAGAGTCTTAACTGGAGTTAGTGGGAGAGATCATCTCTCTCCAGTTTTAGCTTCTCTCCATTGGCTCCATGTCAAATTCAGAATTGAATTCAAAATCTTACTTCTAACCTACAAAGCTCTCAACAACCTAGCTCCATCTTATATTACAGCTTTTATTGTTCCATATTTTCCTAACAGAGCACTTTGCTCTCAGACTGCAGGCTTACTTGCGATTCCTAGAGTTTCCAAAACCAGAATAGAAGAAAGATATTTCAGTTATCAGGCTCCTCTCTTGTGGAACCAACTACCTGTTTCTGTCCATAAGGCTGACACATTGTCCAGTTTTAAGACTGGGCTTGAGACTTTCCTTTTTGATAAATCCTATAGTTAGGGTTGGCTTGTTATAGGCTTAGACTACTGGAGGACAAATTGACCTAATTTCCTTAAATGCGTTGTTAAAATTGAATATTTTTCATGTGAAATTATTTCTATCTTAACATGTGATTCTCGACCTGCCATTGTGTATCTGTTCTTCTCAAACCCAGCCGGTTGAAGCAGATGGCCACTTGTCCTGAGCCTGGTTCTGCTAAAGATTTCTTCCTCATTAGGGAGTTTTTCCTTTCCACTGTCGCCTTCATTCTTGCTCAAGATGAGAGTATGCGATGAAGTTAAATTCAAAGCAGTCTGCTCCTCAGACAAATAGCGTTACCTTATTTTTTTATATCTGTTCAGTGCCCTGAGATGAATTCTGTTGTGACTTGGTGCTATATAAATAAAATGAATTGAAATTTAATTGAACCCACAGCTTGTCAAAACTACAATTAAGTGATTAAAACGACACAAAAACTTTAACCTAAACGCCATTTTACTGGAGTATTTTGTTACTTTTAGCTGTTGAATTCCTGCTTAAAGAAGCAGCAGTTACTGTGCAATTTACATCACTATGGCTTCATCTCCAAACTGATTTTATGTAACCCAACTTCGTTTTCTTTTCTCACATGGTACCACTTCCTTTTGATTAGAGAGAAGTTCTGCACTTGGTGGATTCCTGTAGCTTTACTTTAGGACTAGTGAAGAAAGAAAAACAGTTTTCTGTTGGGTTTTTGACTTGACACAGATCATTTTAGTTAATGGAAAAGACTAACACAGCAAAAAAAAACTGACATTAGCTCAACAAAATAATTCTAACAAAAGGGAGAAAATCCCACCTGTCACAAAGAGAACGAGCCCCATGAAGAGCTGAAGGAGTAATCTCCACTCGGTCATTGGATTGATTTTCTGTCCTGATGTGAACAATGTTCCCTCTGTGGTTTCCATCCTGCTCTGCTCAGCTAGTGCGGGGCTGTGCTGTGCCGACCCACTGAACATCAGTGGTTTACATGCAAAGAATAGCTTGGGAGGGAGGGAAAAGAAGCCGGCACACTCTGAAACATGCTCTGCCTCTCTTAGATAACACACACACACACACAGCAGACTGTGGTTTGTGTGTAAACGAGGACACAGAGGCTGACTCATTCTCAGTCAGGCAGTTTTAATGTCTTCTGCTTTTAACATTTTGGCACATTTAAATGCGTATACAGCTAATATAAAATTAGCAAATTGACAAAAGTTGCTTTTATGGATGTTTGGGGTCTACTAAGACTCACTGAGTTTGACCTGAAACCACAGAAGCTCAGTCTTTATATCAAGAAAAGGCAAGAACATAAGGTGTGAAGGTGGTTTCAGACTCTGGATTGGTGTTTGAACTGTGGCCAATTTAGGCAAAAGGTGCGATGCGATTAGCAACACAACAATAATTAATGAGGCCTACATTTATGAAATATTAATCAGATTTAGATGCAACCGTTTGGATCAGTGGGTCTGATTTTATTCTGGGGAGTCATCACACCTCATTTGGAGCAGCATTATTTATTCTATCTAACAAGGTTTTGTGCCATTTTGGAGTCAGGCAGCTGCAACATCCATCTTGAAATGTTTCTGATTCTAAAATGAATCATTTCAACTACACAGAATGATTACGTTCTAAAAGTTCTATTAAAAGCCATTCTGTGGTTTGTGAGCTTTTTTGGTAACAAGCAGACACAACAGAAATACAAACACACCCAATCCAAACGTATCTTACTCTCTGCTTTTGTCTGTCATTAAGAGTTCAAATCAAGTTGACAACCAACAGAAGCTTAGCTTCATTATGAGTGACTGTACTTCTGACAGTGATGTAACTGAGTGAAAAGTGAAATGATTTTTTACATCATGACACCCACTTGTCTCAAAGTCCCAGCAGTTAAACCAGCATCAACGTGTGGCACAGGGGCTGCACAGCTGCAGAAAGAAAAGCTTTGCAGAGAGTGGTGAAGGCTGCACAGAAATCTGTTGGAGTCAGCCTCCCCACCATCACGAACATCTGCACCTCCAGATACAGGAAGAGGGCCGCCTGCATCATGAAGGACCCCACCCACCCAGCACACACACTTTTTGCCCCGCTCTCCTCAGGCAGGAGGTTGAGGAGCATTAAGTGTAGAACCACTAGACCGAGGAATAGCTTCTACCCTGAATCTGTTAGACTCATGAACCAGAATAACCACTGTAATGTCACTTTAATTGGACATTTGACACTTTGTCTGTGCTGCTGATTATCCATGCTGCTGATTATTACCCATAAGCTGCTGTATTCATACCCATCTGCACACAACAGACTCATGTTCCGGCTGCTGTTTAATATACCATATTACATTGTTATTGTTTAGCATATATCTTAGATCCTTGTATACTGTTTCTTTTTATACTTTATACAGTATTTTTACTATTTTTGGGTGTAACTTGGACCTTGAGTACACAGTTTTGTTCCACCTCACATACCACATGCAAATGACAATAAAAAACAATGAACCTTAAGTTAGATTCACACAAACACACACACGGCAGCTCTGCTAATGACTGAAATGACTCCTGGATCATTTCTGTTGATGTAATTAGGCCTGTCGCAATAAACAATAAATCAATTAATCGCATGATAAATTAAAATTATCGACCTCATATTAATTTACCGGCTTAATCGTTTCTTCGTGTGTCTCTCTTTCTAGTGAAGACACTGGATGACAAAAGGCTCAACTCAGGTGATCTGACCCCTCCCTTTCTATTTTCTCTTTAAAATCCATTTTAACCGTCCAAAATCATGTTTTTGGATCATTAAAAGCAGCTAAGCTGAGAAGCTAAGCTACAAGCTAAGCTAACAGGCCGACCTGGGGGAAAAAACATCCGTCTTGTCAAAGCTGCAAAATTCACGGTTGAAACCCGTGCTTTCGTGTAAAAAGTTGTTTTTCTCTGCAAAAAGAAGCTGAGAACTTGTTTACTGATTTTTTTTTTTTTAATTAAAAGCTTTGTGTGAAAAATGCTATGCTAAAGAGCTCAAACCACACCGAGCGTCCACCATTTTGAGAACAGGAAAAAAAGAAGGAGAGACAACCCATGTCACGTCAAGGGGCCTCCCTCCCATTTTTCTTAAAGAGACACGCTGCTCACTAACTCACTATCCATCCTTCAGTTAAAACAGTCTTATACTGCCATCTGGTGGTTAAAAAGGTACTACACTCAAAATAAAATTAACCAACATTTCATCTTAAATTTGACAATAATTACTAATTATTGTCAAATTTCAAACAATATTATTGTTATCGCAATCATTTCTGAGACAATTAATCGCCCAGTGCAATCATTAAAACATTTAAATAAATGAATTGTACTGAAAAAACAATCCTGTTTGAAATTTATTACCATCTTTGTGTGACTGTTTTCCCTTTCACCCTCAGGAAATGTAACAAAACAAACCCTACTCTGGACTTCATCACTTTTCACCCCCGGAGCCACATCCTGTTTTCAGTGGGGTTTAGATTTCATAAGAACTTCTCCAAACATTTGTACGATTTCACTGGAATGATACTAAACTCATCTCCGCGTTTGATCAGAATGGATGTAGGAATTCTCATGTGCAGTCATCTCAAGGTTGTTGAATTCCCTGGAGACAAAACTCCCAGCATCAACTAACAAACCAGCAGATTTTCAGGGTATGAAAGCATGACGCGGAACCTCATACTCCCTGAGCTGCTGCGATCCACGCAGGTGATGAGCAGACTGCAAGACGACGTGTTTTCAGTCAAAATCTGAAAATGTTCATGGAGAATAAAAATGAAAAAATAACTCCAGCGGGGGGTTGAGAGTTCTTTGAGCTTTTCATCATGTGAGAAGAAAAGCTGCGACAATGGAGGCGCTGAAAAATAAACAGAATGCTGCAGGAAAGAAAGCAAACTTTAAGATTCCTGTGCAGTCGTTACAACATTCTTTGTTCGCATAATCAAATCGGGAATTTAATGTGCTAATCTGCACTCCCCATTCCCGGACGTACACACACAGCAGTTCATCAGACTCTGAGGGGTATTTGTGCAAATACAATCTACGGTTATTAACTACATACCAGGCTTTCATCTCTTTACAGGGAGTCTGTGATTCTTAGCCTTTTGAAGGGGATGGG